TAGTTGGATCCTTGCCACCTGAATTGATGTTGCAGACCTTTCTCTAGCCAAACCAACAGAGAAATGAAGTCAAGCACCTGAATCAATTCTTGGACCAAAACTCTTCTTTTTTTTTTTTTTTTTAAAGATTATTTATTAATTGAACGTTACACAGAGAGAGAAGGAGAGGCAGAGAGAGAGAGGTCTTCCATCCACTGATTCACTCCCCAACTGGCCACAAAGGCCAGAGCTGCACCAATCCAAAGCCACACCAATCTGAAGCCAGGAGCCAAGAGCTTCTTCTGGGTCTCCCATGTGGGCGCAGGAGCCCATGAACTTGGGCCCTCTGCTGCTGCTTTCCCAGGCCATAGCAGAGAGATGGATTAGAAGTGGAGCAGCCGGGACTCAAACCAGCACCCATATGAGATGCTGGCACTGCAGGCAGTGGCTTTACCTGCTATGCCACAGCACTGGCCCCTGGACCAAAACTTTCTAGCCCACTAAACATGCCACAGGACACTGGTTTTCAAAAACCACTTAACAGGTACAATGCCAGCTCCCCATCATAATTATCAGGTAACAAGCCATTGTACTAAAGGCACAAAATAAATTTAATGTTGGAATAGAAGTGAAATTTCTACTTTTTAACTTCCTAGATCTTTAATAGACAATAATTTTGGATATGTATATGAAATTACTATACTACACTGTCACTTTATAAAAAAAAGTCTCAAAGCTCAGTTTAAAGACTTCAAATTTCTCCTTTTTGCTGGTTATTAAAGAGATTAATTTAACCATGATTCTAAACTGTTTTGCAGAAAAATCAAAATTAAGTTCTTTGAGAGTATGTGCTTAATTAGCTATTAAGATGCCCTGGTTGTTGTGGCCATTTGGGGAGTGAATCAGTGGATGGAAGACCTCTGTCTCTCCCTCCTTCTCTCTGTAACTCTGACTTTCAAATAAGTAAATACATCTTTTTATGAAAAAAGAAAAAAAGGTATTAAATGTCAATGCCTATTTTCTGGTTTACTGTTCCCACTTTCACATATTTCCAAAGAAAATAATTTGATTAAAGTCTTCATACAGAAGTCTTGATATTACCCAAGTTCTGATTTCTTGGGGAGAATTTTTTTTAAAGATTTTATTTATTTTATTGGAGAGTTAGATTTACAGACAGTGAGAGGGACGGAGAGAGGTCTTCCATCTGCTGGTCCACTCCCCAGGTGGCTGCAACAGCCAGAGCTACACTGATGCGAAGCCAGGAGCCAGGTGCTTCTTCCTGGTCTTCCATGTGGGTGCAGGAGCCCAAGGACTTGGGCCACCTTCCACCACTTTTGCAGGCCATAGCAGAAAGCTGGACTGGAAGAGGGGCAGCCGGGACTAGAACCGGTGCCCATATGGGATGCTGGCGCCACAGGCAGAGGATTAACCTACTGCGCCATGGCGCCAACCCCTGTTGGGGAGAATTATAATCTGAAAATCCTCATAGCATCTCCCACCTCTGCATTTACCTGATCTATGTTCTTAAGCAAAAAGTCACAAAATCTCAAAATTGTGTTTCTACCAAAGACATTCTCCCTTCATACATACTTCTACCATGAAACTAGGGAAGAGAGGAAGAAGATGGCATGTCTTCACTTTGAAGTACAATTTCTCTCTACCCAGTGATGCTAAATAAACTCTCCCTTTGTAAATAAACCTAACAAGGCCCACAGAATCACTCAGAGGGAAGCTTGTAAGAAAAGGGTTCTTTAACTTACATATTACTTTTCAGAGTAGTTTTCTTTTTTTTAATTAATGAAAATTACACCTTTTTTAAAAAAAAAAATTAGAACTTGCACAAAAAACATGTTTAAAAACACTAATATTTTGGCTGGCACCGCGGCTCACTAGGCTAATCCTCTGCCTGCGGCACTGGCACACCGGGTTCTAGTCCCGGTTGGGGCGCTGGTCCTGTCCCAGTTGCTCCTCTTCCAGTCCATCTCTCTGCTGTGGCCTGGGAAGGCAGTGGAGGATGGCCCAAGTGCTTGAGCCCTGCACCCGCATAGGAGACCAGGAGGAAGCACCTGGCTCCTGGCTTTGGATCCGCGCAGTGCGCCGGCCATAGTGGCCATTTGGGGAGTGACCCAATGGAAGGAAGATCTTTCTCTCTGTCTCTCTTTCTCACTGTCTAACTCTCCTGTCTAAAATCAGACAAATAAGACTAATATTTTATAAACTCAGGAATAGCATTTCTTTTCATTTCATTTTCTATTCAGATTTTTATTATTAATAAGTCATTGATTTAAAATGAACTAATTCAATATATTCGCAGGGCTTCCACTCTGACAGAGCAGAAGGAAGGTCCACTGAAAAAGTGAAATTTAAGCTGAGCATAAACTGAGGGGCCAACCAGGTACAGCTCTGAGGGAAGAGCACTCTAGGGCAAGGGAGCGCGTGGGTGATGGCCTCAGACAGGGCTGGATTAAGGAGAAGGTGTGTGGCAGGGAGCCCTATGGAGCGTCGTGGGCGATAAACTGATTAATTTACTGATGAGCATTTGAAGCTAGTCCAAATCAGCACTCCTTTAGGTTGTTTTTAAAGAATCACTAAAATAGCAGTCTAACTCCCACAAGAAAAAAAAAGTCAAAGACAAGCAAAGAAAGAGATGGTGTTCAACGTCAGTCCTCTCATGATAATGAAGATTAAATTTCAGACTCCTTGTTGAGAATCCCTACAAGCAAGAGTTTCCTCACCGCTTCTGAAACAGTCTCACCATTTACACACCCTTCTAAATTTCTACAAGGTGCTCAAGAGTTTACACCCTCTGGTGATGGACAATTGCCATGGTTTCAAATTACTTTTACTGTCAATATCCCTCCAGCATTTTTGCTAAATAGCAGCCTTGCAGACTACACATTAAAAGGACAAACAAAGCACTCACAGAAAATTAAACACAGTACTCACTCTGCACAGTGGCCTAAGAGACTGAACCTCTACGCAGTAGGCAACATTTGATTTATGATCTTACATGAAGACTGATAACGAGGCAGTCTGATGTTTGTGGTCTGGAAGTTGGCTCATCTAACATTTCATCAATGTTCTCCCTTCTCAGGTCACGGCCCTTTGCCCAAAGGTTTCATTATGGAGAATTTATAGATGTGACTGAACACGTATAACCTTACAAACAAACTTCTTAGATGGCCTAATTTTTTAAAATGTATTTGCTTCAAAAGTTAATATAAAACTCAGAACTCTGCAGCTAGTTTTACTTTCTGATTCTGCAAGCTGTGGCAGATGGTTGTCCAAGGCACCTGTGACCTCGGCATTCTGCCCATGTTTGCCTGGACTGCCCCAAGTTTAAGGCTGAAGGGAGCATTTCTTTTGCCAGAGGTGGCAGGTCATGCTGGGCCTGCTCCTCACCCCTGTGTCCATGTGGCTGAGCCACCAGCCTCTCCCAGGTGCATTCAGGAAGTGGCAAAGGCTGCACAAACCTGAAGCAGCAGCAAGCCATCTCAGAAGCAGTACTTGACACCTGCTCCATAAACAGTGCTAACACACTAGTGGATATTTTGATCCCATTTTTATTGGATTTTTCAACCCTTCCTTCCCTAGCTGCCGGGAAATATTGTTGAAATAAAGTCAAATTAAACTGCAATTTTCTGAGACAACTGCATCGCAAAATCAGAACTAAAAATCATCACTAGTCAAGCTTTAAAATAGACTGAAAAAGACTCGTGTAAGCGGTGCAAAGGCATCCCCTAAAGCGACAAGACAAAACACAGTTAAATGGGGTAACTTTCAGTGTTAGGAAACGAGCCGCTGCACAAATCTCACATCCTAAAAACTTTCCAAGTACTTTTGACAAAGAGCACTTCCTTTCTTCTATAATTAGTCATTTAACTTCCTCAGTCACCAGGCACACGCATTTCGTCAGGTGTGCTGGTTGCTCCAGAAACAAAAGGCAGATAGGGCATTTCTGCTGCCTTAACTAAGCTCCCCAGAGATAACAGGAATACAGCCTGACAGCTAAAGTCTGTCTCTCAAGATGCCAAGGACCGCAGAGAGTGAGGTCAGCGCTCCGGTGCCAGGTAACAGCCGGGCAAGTGCACCTGTAATCCGCAGTATAAAAGGAGACTCAGACAGCAAACGTGCTGCGACAGTCACCTGCACCTCCTCAACCCCGCCCCCCCAGGCGTCTTTATAAACACAGGGTTTCTGAGGGGAACTGTCCAAGGTTACCACCTGACAGGGAGGAATGCTCGGGTGAGGGTACCGACAGAACACCATTATGTACTCTACCGAGCACCGCGGCGCAGCATCTGCGTCTTGAGAAAGCAGGAACCCGATAAGGCACACGAGACGTGAAAACAAGACCTCTTTCTTAACAGGATTAAAACGTCAAGGAAGAACTGACCGAAAGAGGGAGATCTCCGACTTCCAAAGCAGCGGGCAACCCCTGGAAAGGTACTGGAACCAGCGCAAGTTACAGATCCAGGACAGAAGTGTCCCCCTTCCCAACGGTAAAAGTTTGAGCCGCCCTCCGACCGGCCTACGGTGGTCGGAAACTTCCCCCGACGACCCCAAGCTGGCAGACGGCCTCAGACCGCCGCCCTCGGCCACCCCCAGGGGTCCTCGGGCCAGGCTGCCGCTTCCTCCGGGCCTGGCCTCTCCCATCGCGCTCCCTCCCTCGCCCGGACACTCGCTGGCCTGCCTTGGCTTCCAACGCCGGCCGGGGTCCCGGGGTCCCGGGGTCCCCCGAGGCCGCCGGGCTCGCTGACGCGGGGCCTCGGCATCCGGCCCGCCCTCCGGGAGGCCCGGCGCGCCTCCGGCCCTGGCCGGGCCGCGACCCCGGCCCCGCGGCGCGCGCCCTGCCCGCCGGCCGGCGGCCCTCACCTCCTCGGCGTGCTTGCGCAGCGCCTTCTCCCGCTCGTACTGGGTGATGAGCTGCTCGTTGTCGTCCCGCAGCAGCTCCAGCTCCACCTGGTGCTCCTGGTCCTGCGTGAACACCGAGTCCAGGTTCTCCAGCACGGCCACCACCAGCGGCATCAGCTCCTTGACCACCTCCTCGTCGTAGCGCCCGATGAGCCGCTCGAACTCGCGGTAGATGGAGCCGGCCAGGCCGGACACCCGCTCCGACATCACGGCCCCGGAGCCACCGGGCTCCTCCTGGTACACCACACCGTCCTCCAGCTCCATGGTGGCGGGCGGGCGGGCGGGCAGCCCGGGGCGTCGCCGGCTGAGGAGCGGCACCGGCCCGCACGGGACGGGCCCGGCTGGGGCTGGCGCTGGGGCTGGGGCTGGGGCTGGGCCCGGCCGAGTCGGGGCCGGGGCCGGGGCCGGAGGAGGGGAGGGGAGGGGTGAGCGCACTCACCCCAACCGCCGCAGCACCAACTGCCGGGGCTGCCGGGCCGCGCGCGCAACACGTCACCCGGGGGCGGGGCGGGCGCCGCGTCGGCCCGATGGGCGGGGCCCCGCGGGAGGCCAGGCGCGGCCGAGGGCGGGGCTGCGGTCGTCGCGCGCCGGCGGAGGCTGGCTGTGGCGTCAGCACTGGGCGCCGCGCGACGGGCGCGACGCCAATGGGAAAGGCTGTGGAGCGTAGGGTGGGGAGAAGTGTCAGCCTGAGGCCGGACTTGTGGGGCGATCCCAGAGGATAGGGAGGGGTTCCGGAAGAGTGACTGGCATCCAGGACGAGCGTGGCTAAGGGTATTGCTTTTTACAGCTCACAAAGCTCATTCTTATTTGACGGTCACAACAGGCGCGGTGCGGAGACAGTTGGCCCCCGTTTCACGGACAAAGAAACCAGGCCCCGAAAAGTTGTGGTTCACTCAAGGTCAAGAATCAGGAAAGAGGCCGAGTCGGGACTCAGACCAGTTGTGACGGAGAATTCCGGGCTCAGAGAAAAAGGAACAACAGTGGCGGGGTGGGGGGCAACAACCATAACCAGGAGATGGTCTGAGTGCTTTTTAAGGTGGTCTGCAGTGGGCTACAGCTGTTTTGAGATGGGAGGGAGGAATAAGGATAACCTAAAACAGGAAGTACAAAGCATTCTGGAGAAGGGTAGGACTGTAACGCCACATCCTGCACTTTCCCAAACATGGAATTTCTTGCTGCTCCCGGCCAGCTCTGCGGAGGCAATCGCCAGGCTCCAGCCACCTTCCTCTCCGCTGGTCTGGAAGAGGAGTGGAGGAGGGAAAGGGGTGGAGTCACTGGGGTGAATAAGTCCCGTGGTGTGTGAGGTCTCCTCCGCCCTGGGACAGCGTCACGTGTGGGGAATGACACAACACCCAAGCCTGCAGCGGGCTGAGTCAAGGATAACTTCTCCGTGTTCTCATCTAGCGTCCAAGTGGGTCGGAATACGTTCTCAAAGCCCCTTCTCTTCGCCTCAGTGACTCACCTAACAGGAGGAGGGAAGTCAGGATTGAGATAAACAAGGATTTAGGAGGGGAAATCTGCCACTTCCCCAGATCATAAATACCCTCAACTTGGTGTTTTCAAGTTCCTCTCACCAAGCATGAATTAGTCCCCCAAAGTCTCCCACTTTTTTTTTTAACTTAAGATTGATTTATTTATTTGAAAAGCAGAGTTACACAGAGAGAGGGAGAGACAGAGATCTTCATCCGCTGGTTCACTAACCAAGTGGCCTCCACTGCTGAGGCCAAGCTAGGCTGAAGCAGAAGCCAAGAACTCCATCAGGGTCTCCGACGTGGGTGGCGGGGCCCAAGTATTTGGGCCATCTTCCACTGCTTTCCCAAGCACATTAGCAGGGACTTGATTCCAAAGTGGAGCACCCAGGACTCCAGCCTATACACTCAAATGGGATGCTAGCTTCTCATATAAGTGTGGCTTAACCCGCTGTGCCACAACGCTGGCCCCAAGTCTGCTCTTGACCCACCTGAAGACCAATGAAAACAGTATGAAGGTTGGGCCACAGTCAATTTATAGAGTCAGAAGAAAAAACAAAACAAAATGCTAAGTCTTACCTCAAATGTACTGAATTTGTGTTCTGTGCTGTCTTGTTTTTTCACCCTCACCCCACATCCACCCTTATATTGTTTGGGGATGTCTGGGTTATAGAAGTGCAGACTACTTGGTTGGGTGTGAGCCCTAAATGTTCTTTCTCTTCTTAACATCTGAAAATCAGGAAATGTCTTACTCTGATTTCTTTTTTTGCTTTCTTCTCTCTTCTGGAGGGATGTACCAAGGCAATCTATATTAATGTGATTCTATTTTTCTGGGAGTCAGATGAGCAGCAAAGCTTAGAGAACTCTCTATTTTGCCTTTCCACAACATTACTACACACATCAGAAAATTTAGGAGAAAATGCCAGTTTTCAGGTACAAGATTATAATTATGTCTTTGTATAAGATTTTTTAAGTTATAAGCTCAAAAATACATGAGATATATATATATTTATGTTGATTTTAAACTTCTGGTAACTAACAGAGTTCACATTTAAATTTTTTTAAAGATTTATCCATGTATTTGAAAGAGTCGCAGAAAGGAGAGACAGACAGAGATCTTGCATCTGCTGGTTCACTCCCCGAATGGCCACAATGGCCAGAGCTGGGCTGATCTGAAGCCAGGAGCCAGGAGCTTCTTCCAGGTCTCCCATGTAGGTGCAGGGACCCAAGCACTTGGGTCATCTTCTACTGCTTTCCCAGGCACATGAGCAGAGAGCTGGATCAGAAGTGGAGCAGCCCAGACTCAAATCAGTGCCAATATGGGCTACTGTTGCTGCAGACGGCGGCTTAACCCACTAAGACACAGTGCTGGCCCCACATTTAAATGTTTAAAATGAAATTCACCTAAATAGCTATAAACTGGTGAATTATATGTATACAATGGACTGTTACTCAGCAATAAAAAGTGCATCCCCCAACAGGGATGAATCTTTGAAACATGCTAAGTGAAAGAAGCCAGCCACCAAGGACCACATACAATATGAGTCTATTTGTATGAAAGGTCCAGAATAGCCAAATCTATGGTTTCCTAGGGCTAGGAAGCAATGAGATAGTGGGATAAGGGAAAAGGAAGATGACAGCTCATGAGTTTAGGCTTTTCCTTTTTTTAAGTCAGAATTACACACAGAGAGAAGGAGACCCAGAGAGAAAAAGTCTTCCATCCATTGGTTCACTCCCCAGTTGGCTGCCATGACCAGAGCTTTGTGGTGATCTGAAGCCAGGAGCCAGGAACTTCTTTCAGGTCTCCGAGGTGGGTGCAGGGGCCCAAGGACTTGGGCCATCTTCCACTGCTTTCCCAAGCCATAGCAGAGAGCTGGATGAGAAGTGAAGCAGCCGGGACTTGAACTGGTGCCCATACGAGATGCCGACACTGCAGGTGGCAGCCTTACCTGCTACACCACAGTGCTGACCCCAACTTTAGGCTTTCTGTCTGAGGTAATGAAAATGTTCTCGAGCCGGCGCCGCGGCTCACTAGGCTAATCCTCCGCCTTGCGGCGCCGGCACACCGGGTTCTAGTCCCGGTCAGGGCGCCGGATTCTGTCCCGGTTGCCCCTCTTCCAGGTCAGCTCTCTGCTGTGGCCCGGGAGTGCAGTGGAGGATGGCCCAGGTGCTTGGGCCCTGCACCCCATGGGAGACCAGGAGAAGTACCTGGCTCCTGCCATCGGATCAGCGTGGTGCGCCGGCCACGGCGGCCATTGGAGGGTGAACCAACGGCAAAGGAAGACCTTTCTCTCTGTCTCTCTCTCTCACTGTCCACTCTGCCTGTCAAAAAAAAAAAAAAAATGTTCTCAACTCAATTGTGGTGTTAAATACAACTCTGTAAATATACTAAAAGGCACTGAATTTTACACTTTTAAAATATTTTTCTTTTGTTTTGAAAGGCAGAGAGACAAAGATCTTTCATCTACTGCTTCACTCCCCAAATTCCTACAACTGGGGTTGGGCCAGGCAGCAGCGAAGAGCTTGTAACTCAGTCCAGGTCTTCCATGTAGGGTGCAGGGATCCAAGTACTTAAGCCATCTTCTGCCGCCTCCCAGGGTGTACATTAACAGAAGGCAGAATGGGAAGATAAGGAGCCTGGACTCCTCAAGCACTCCAGATGGATGTGAGGATTCCAAAGCAGTGTCTTGACCACTGTGCCAAATGCCTGCCTTGAATTTTACACTTTAAATGAGTGAATTGTATGGTATATGAATTACATTTCAATATAGCTATTAAAATAAATGAGGGGCCGTGATTGGCTTAGTGGTTAAGGTGTCAGTTAAGATGCCTGTGTTCCTATTTTTTTAAGATTTATTGTTTAGTTTACAATAGACTGACAGGGAGAAACAGATATCTTCTATCTGCTGGTTCACTCCTTGAATGCTCACAATACCTGGGGCTAGGCTAGGCCAATGCCAGGTGCCAGGAACTCCATCTGGGTCTCCCACATGGGTGGCAGGGCCCCAGCACTTTAGGAGGCAGGTAAATCAGAAGTATGGAGTAGCTGGGACTCAAACCAGGCTCTGTGTTGAGATGCAGGTGCCATGATGTGCCCTGTGTGTCCCACACTGGAGTGCCTGGCTTCAATTCCTAGCTGTAGCTCCAGATTTCAGATTCCAGCTGATACACACCCTAGGAGGCAGTAGGTGATGGCTCAAGTGATTGGATCCCTGCCACTCAGGTGGGAGACCTAGATTGAGTTTCAGGCTCATGGTTCCAGCTCTAACCCAGCTGGGACTGTTGCAGGCATTTGGGGAGTAAACTAGTGGATGGGAGCTCTCTGTCTCTTTCTCTGCCTCTCAAATAAATGAATAATGAAAAATAAATCAATAATGAAATAATATTCATGGCTATATAACCATGAATCACTTATTAATGGAGGTAGATTGTGATGAATGTGGCACCAGGTGACGTTACTGTTTTGTGAACATCATAAAGTACTTACACAAACCTAGATGATATGGGTCAGCCACCCAACCTGGCCTCTTGATGCAATCAAGGGACTCGGTAAACATGTGGTGTATGAGGCTGCTTCTGCTGTAATATTACGTACTATTTTACGGTGATCTTGTTTTATAAATAGAAGTAGTATGTGCCAAAATAATCATTACAAGCATAGCATAGTAAATACATAAACCAAGAACACTCAACTACTATCACTGTCAATGTTATATACTGTACATAATGGTATGTGCTACACTTTAGAACAACTGGCAGCCAAGTAGGTTTGTTTGCTTGCAGCAGCATCACCACAAACACACAAGTAATGCGTTGCTTTATGACTGCGATGGCTCTGACGTCAGCAGGTGATAGGAATTTTTCAGCTCTACTGTAATTTGTTGGGACCACCATTGTATATGTGGTGCCCTGATGACTAAAATGTTATGAAGTGCGTGACTGTAGCTGACCTGATGGAGCAGATAAGTCAATGTGACAGAATGGAAAGAAAATGGTTTTGAAACCAGGAAAGTTGTATTCTAATATGGTCTGGTTATTTTGTACAACTTAGGTCAGCAAAAAAGACCAAATAGTTATTGACTACCTACTGGGTGCCACTAAGTGTGATTAAGACTGTGAACCTCAACTCTATGAACAATGAAGGGGTTTGTTAGAGAACCTGTAAAGGCTTCTTGAAATCCTGAAATCCTGTGATTCTTGTTTGTGGGTGGGAGTGACAGACAGGAAACAGGGCCTTGAAGCTGAGTCCCATTAGTCAGCTCCTAAGTATGTTGGCAGTGATATTACCTCCATGCACCCACCTCAAACCCCGAAGGGCTGAGATTTTTATTAAAGACTAACAGTCACTAAGGAAAAACAGGTCACTTTTCCACTTTAGAGTGTTTACTCGTGATTCCTAAAGGGAAGGAAATTCCAATTCAAGAGATTCCTTGGCCTTGTAAAAATAATGAGGACAGTAGGAAAGGGGGGCCCAAGAGAGGGGGGTTGATGAGGGCAGGAAGGGAGGAGTTTCTTCCTCAGCACAATGACTATAATCACTGGGAGGCTGAAATTACTAGTCCTGTTGTTTGCTTGGCCTTCTGGAACTTTTGCAGTCGCTCCATATGAATCAGTTTCTCTGTTCTCACCTACCACCTTATCCTAGCTGAGGAAAGAGTACAGAAAAAGGAAGAGAAAAGTGGGCTCCTGGGCCTGGGGCCCTCTGGTTCTGGCGGTGTGAAATGCCAGGTGAGTCATCACTCCACACAGCCCAGCACATGCGTGCTGAGGCAGGCTGGCCCTGGACTTCCAGACTCTGGAAACATGCCACAGTACCTTTATGAGTCCTCGGTTGTCCTCTGAAAGCCTTTTAATGCACCAAGACAAGACAAGACGGATAAGTGTGTTGAAGGTAGGAGGCTTCCAGACAAGAACTGCTCCATTTTACTCCCTGACTCTCAAGACTTTGGGCTAGCAGGAATTGCCCGGAAGAGGAGGAGCTAAACACGAGTCCTGGTACCTGATGCTCTTTTTAATGAGTACAAAGTATATTGTTCATGGTGTGTGAATTCAGGTCTGTTTTCTCTCCACTTCTTCCAACATGGATTGAGAAGAAGAGGAGGTTCATCACCCACCTCTCAGTGTACTTGTTAGACATCAAGCCAAAATTCACTCTGGGAATAAAAGATATGGATTCTTTTAAGATTTTTTTTTTTTTAACTTGAAAGCAGAGTTACAGAGAGAGGAGGAGAGAGAGAGATCTTCCATCTACTGGTTCACTCCCCAAACGGCCACAACAGCCAAGGCCGGGCAGGCCAAAGCCAGGAGCCAGGAGCTTCTTCCAGGTCTCCCACATTGGTGCAGGGCCATCTTCTACTGCTTTCCCAGGTGCCTTAGCAGGGAGCTAGATTGGAACTGTAGCAGCCAGGTCTTGAACCGGCATTGCAGTGGGAGGCTTTACCTGCTACACCATAGTGCCAACCCCAGAGAAATGTTTTTAATACGGTGGGCTGGTTAGGTTTTTTTTATCCCTTGATTATAGAAGGATGCATATTCAGTATAGAAAAGTTTGTTAAATATAGAAAATCACAGAATAAGAAATGAACATTACTTTTTCTCCCAAATATCACATGGTTAGTATCTAGCCATCTCATTAGGTGATCCAGGAAGTCTCCATCAAGCTCATGGGAGAGAAGTCAAGTGCAAGCAAGACTTGCTGTCTCTGAAGCAGGTAAGTATCCAGTGAGATCCACCAGCAAGAAACCTGGATTTGTCCTTCACTTGAGTCTCAAGTGAAAAAGATGACAAAGGTGTAGATTATAACTATAGGAAAATCACCCACACCCAGAACCTGTTTCTTTTTTTTTTTTTTAAGATTTTTTATTTATTTGAAAGACAGAGTTACAGAGAGAGGTAGAGACAGAGAGAGAGGTCTTCCATCCGATTGTTCACTCCCCAGATGGCCACAATGGCCGGGGCTGCGAAGCCAGGAACCAAGAGCCACTTCCAAGTCTCTCATGTGGGTGTAGGGGCCCAAGGACTTGGGCCATCTTCTACTGCTTTCCCAGGCCATAGCAGAGACCTGGACCAGAAGAGGAGCAGCCAGGACTAGAACCAGCGCCCATATGGGATGCTGGCACTTCAGGCCAGGGCTTTAACCCGCTGCACCACCGGAGCTGGCCCAGAACCTGTTTCTAAAAGAGTGTTTAAACAGGTTTCACTGGTGATGACATTATTAATCCATTCCAGCTAAGAAACTAATTTTGACACATTTGTTAATAGTCATATTTGAAAAGGAATAGAATGAGAAAAAAATGGTCTAATTTTTCTAAATGCCAACTCATTTGTATATGTGATTTAAAAATATTTATTATTTATTTGAAAGTCAGAGTTACACAGAAGGAGAGGGAGAGAGAGAGAAAGAGAGAGAGAGAGAGAGGTCTTCCACCCACTGGTTCACTTCCCAGTTGGCCGCAACTGCGCCAATCTGAAGCCAGGAACCAGGAGCCTCCTCCAGGACTCCCATGCAGGTGCAAGAGCCCAAGGACTTGGACCATCTTCTACTGCTTTCCCAGGCCATAGCAGAGAGCTGGATCAGAAGTGGAGCAGCCGGGACTTGAACTGGCACCCATATGGGATGCTGGCATTGCAGGTGGCAGCTTTACCCACTATGCCACAGTGTTGGCCCCTGTACGTGCGATTTTGAAGGAAGGTCTCAATGACCCAAAATATCATTCCTGAAATCCATTACCTTTAAAAACTCAGCATAGGGTGGACATTTAGCCTAGTGGTTAAGATGCCTGCATCCTGTATCAGAGTGCCTGGGTTCAATGTCTGGCTCCAGCTCCTGACCCAGCTTCCTGCTAACACAGACTCTGGCCCAGCCCTAGCTGTTGTATTTGGGAAGTGAATCAATGGATGGGAGCTTACTCTCTCTAATTCTGTCTCTCTGACTCTCAAAAAAAAAAAAAAGTTTTTCAGTACAATTCAGCCAACATTTGTTGCCTGTTAAGCACTGGGTCCTGTGCTAAACCCAAGGTAGGGGCCAGCACTGTGACACAGTGGATAAAGCTACCACCTGCAGTGCTGGTATCCCATATGGGAGCTGGTTCGATTCTCAACTGCTCCACTTCCGATCCAGCTCTCTGCTACGGCCTGGGGAAGCAGTAGAAGATGGCCCAAATCCTTGGGCCCCTGCACCCATTTGGGAGACCCAGAAGAAGCTCCTGGCTCCTGGCTTTGGATTGGCACAGCTCTAGCCATTGTGGCCATCTGGGGAGTAAACCAGCAGATGGAAGACCTCTCTGTCTATCTCTTTCTTTCTCTGTCTCTCTTTCTCTCTGCCTCTGTAACTCTGCCTTTCAAATAAATAAATCTTAAAAAAAAAATAAACCCCAAGGTAAAAGTGCTAGGCCTAATGTCAAGATGAATCAGGCATAGTACCTACCCCCAAGATGAGCAGTCTAGTAAGGACAGCACAAATCGAAATCCATTATGAAAGTGCAACAAACTAAGTATGCACAAAATACAATGATGTAAAGAGGAAGAACAGTTGAAGGGTGTTGGGATGAGGGCCTTTAAAATCTGGGAGATTTTGCTAAGAGAAAGGCAGAAACTTAGCTTGGAGGTTCGTTCACATCATGCTTAGATAAGCAGAGAAAATATAATTTGTTTTGTCTAAATCTAATCTGGCCTACTTTCTGAGCCCTCACTCACTGAACAGACCTACTTCAAAGGAAAACTTGGTCTAAACCGATTATTGAAACAGTTCCTTCAGGTCATGTGCAATCTCTTGGATAACAATGCTGGGTCTTTGAGCTAACTCTTCTCCCTCCTACTTCTCCCCGTAACAGGGTTTGATGTATTGGGCAGAAGAGCTTCTGCCACTTGACTGGTTAAAGGTGCATGCAGGCAGGCGCCGCGGCTCAATAGGCTAATCCTCCGCCTGTGGCGCTGGCACCCTGGGTTCTAGTCCCGGTCGGGGAGCTGGATTCTGTCCCGGTTGCTCCTCTTCCAGGCCAGCTCTCCGCTGTGGCCAGGGAGTGCAGTGGAGGATGGCCCAAGTCCTTGGGCCCTGCACCCGCATGGGAGACCAGGAGAAGCACCTTCAGATCAGCACGGTGCGCCGGCCGCAGCACGCCAGCCGCAGCGGCCACTGGGGGGTGAACCAACGGAAAAAAGGAAGATCTTTCTCTCTCTCTCACTGTCCACTCTGCCTGTCAAAAAAAAAAAAAAAAAAAAAAGTGCATGCAGTCTTTGGATCCACGCAGTGACATTTGCTCTCTATTTTCTGGCCTCTAAACAATGTTCTTTGCTCTCTTGGTCTCTGGATAGCCAGCTGGCCTTCAGAGCTGAAGTTTTGAGTTGCTAGAATGTGGGATCTGTTCTTTTGGCATTACTCCCTGTCTAAATTGGCCTCCTTTGACTCTGATGCTAAGTGAGACATCTCTAAATTTGGTTCTGATAGCAGCCTTTCCTGCAGCCCTCACCTCAGAGCCACTTGCTTCCTACCCCTGCTACCACCCCAAGTCTAGACTGGGCTTGGGAAAGTTTAACTTCTGCTCTTCCCAGGGCCTGACCCCACAGCTGAACCAATGTGGTATGTTTGTTCCCTAGGTTAGTTCAGGGTGGTTTTTGGGGCAGCATCTTTCTGAGCACCAGATGAGAAGAGAATATAGCCCTCAACCTAATTTTACTTATCTAACATGGCTTCTACTTTAGGACAAAGCCCAGACTAACAAAAACATGGACACATATATGATAGTTCGACTCTCCTCATTCTGAGTTTCCTTGCCTCCGTCCTACCCATCTTCCAGTCTGAAAAGTAAGACCTTTCTCACATATGCTCTTCCAACTTCAATCTCATGACTGAATTTTAAATTTTTATGTATTTATTTAGAAAGGTAGAGAAACAAATTGAGAGAGATCTTGCATCTGCTGATTCACTCCCCAAATCTCCAAATGCCTACAACAGCGAGAGCTGGGCCAGGATGAAGCCAGGAGTCAGGAACTTCATCCAGGTCTCCCTTGTGAGTAACAGGAACCCAACTGCTTCAGCCATCACCTGCTACTTCTCAGGATACACATTAGCAGGGAGTTGGGATAGTGAGCAGAGCTGGGATTTGAACCCAGGCACTCCCTTATGGGATATGGATGTTCAAGTGCAGCTGCGCCAAATACTTGCTCCTGGTTAAATCTAAGTAAGTTGCAGATATTTTATTTCTATATTGGGAGCTCTGTAGGAATCAAGACCTCTGTCTGGTTTGTTAAGCTAAAGCCTTGGTGCATTTGCTTACACTGATTTTACTTAGATTTTTCTCTTGGCTTTCCATCTGTATCTACTCTCCCTCAGTGCTTCCCCAACCCCCATGCTAAGGCAGTGGCAATGGTATGGGTCCAAGAAACATTTAAGAGATCCAATATACAGAATTTGCTATTTATAGAGAATGACAAAAAGACTTCTGGCTCGAGCAAATGGGTAAATAGTGCTACCTCCCTTCAAGATAATACTTTAGGGGCTGGTACTGTGGCATAGCGGGTAAAGCTGATGCCTGTGACACAAGCCTGCCATATTGTACTGGCTGCTCCACTTCTATCCAGCTCCCTGCTAATGGCCAAGGAAAGCAGAAGAGGATGGCCTAAATTCTTGGGCCACTGCATCCATGTGGGAGACCTAAATGAAACTCCTGGCTCCTAGCTTTGGCCTGGCCCAGCCATGGCCATTGTAGCCATCTGGGGTGTGAACCAAAGGATGGAAGACCTCTTTCTCCCTCTTTACTTCTCTCTCTCTGTTACTCTTTCAAATAACTAGTAAATATATTTTTTAAGATATCTATTGCAGAAAGGAAGATGGCTTTCAAAAATATAATAATGGGGCTGGTGCTGTGGCTCACTTGGTTAATCCTCCTCCTGCAGCGCCGGCATCCCATATGGGCGTCGGGTTCTAGTCTCAGTTGCTCCTCTTCCAGTCCAGCTCTCTGCTGTGGCCTGGGAGGGCAGTGGAGGATGGCCCAAGTGCTTGGGCTCCTGCACCCACATGGGAGACCAGGAAGAAGCTACTGGCTCCTGGCTTCGGATTGGCTCCGGCCGTTGCGGCCAATTGGGGAGTGAACCAGCGGATGGAAGACCTTGCTCTCTCTCTGCATCTCCTCTCTTTGTGTAACTCTGTCTTTCAAATAAATAAATAAATCTTTAAAATATATATATATATAATAATAATGAGTTCATGGTGGATACCTTTGACTTGAGGTGCTTTTGGACTTCATTTCGAAGATCCAGGCTGGACAAACCTATTGAACTAATTTGTTGATGAATGTAGTTAAGTTTTGTTGTGCATAATATTCTGAGGAAGAAACAGTTTATGAAGCACATGATTCAATATTCACCCTTTAAAAAAAGATTTATGTATTGAGGTCTGAAAATGGCGGACAAGGAGAGAGGCGTGGATCCAAAGTCTTCATTCTCTGACAGGCAGAGTGGACAGTGAGAGAGAGAGACAGAGAGAAAGGTCTTCCTTCCTTTTGCCATTGGTTCACCTTCCAATGGCCGCCGCTGCCGGCGTGCTGTGGCTGGTGCACCGCGCTGATCCGATGGCAGGAGCCAGGTGCTTCTCCTGGTCTCCCATGGGGTGCAGGGCCCAAGCACTTGGGCCATCCTCCACTGCACTCCCGGGCCACAGCAGAGAGCTGGCCTGGAAGAGGGGCAATCGGGACAGAATCTGGCGCCCCGACTGGGACTAGAACCCGGTGTGCCAGCACCACAAGGCGGAGGATTAGCCTAGTGAGCCGCGGCGCCGGCCAGAGAGGCTTTTTTTTTAAATCCTGTTTCACTCCCCAAATGGCTGCAATGGCCAGAGCTGAGCTGATCAGAAGTCAGGAGCCAGGAGCTTCCTAAGGGTCTCCTATGTGGGTGCAGGAGCCGAAGGACTTGGGCCATCTTCTACCGCTTTCCCAGGCCATAGCAGAGAATTGGTTCAGAAGAGGAGCAGCCGGACTACAACCAGTGCCCATATGGGATGCCGAAGCTTCAGGCCAGGGCTTTAACCCAATGTGCCACAGCACTGGCCCCAGAGAGGCTTTATATTTTGCTTAATCAACTGCTTTCTTTTTTTCTTTTTTAAAAAACTTTTATTATTTATTTATTTGAGAAGTAGAGTTACAGACAGTGAGAGGGAGAGACAGAGAGAAAGGTCTTTCTTCATTGGTTCACTCCCCAAATGGCCACAACGGCTGGAGCTGAGCAATTCGAAGCCAGGAGCCAGGAGCTTCCTCCAAGTCTCCCACGTGGGTGCAGGGGCTCAAGGACTTTGACCATCTTCTACTGCTTTCCCAGGCCATAGCAGAAAAGTGGACAGAAGAGGAGCAGCCAGACTAGAACTGGCACCCATATGGGATGCCGGCGCCATAGGCGGAGGATTAACCTACTGCGCCACAGCGCCGGCTCCTCAACTGCTTTCTACCAAATAGCTAGCTGAAATCAGAGAATGGAAATTTATAAGATAAGGGAAAGAAGCATGGGTTAATTTTAGAGTTTATGTCAATTCTTATGTCAATTCTTAGGAAGGCAGAATTGGGGGAGGGGAGGATTACATTAAGAAATAATTTTAGGAGCCTGCGCTGTGGCATAGCAAGTAAAATCGCTGCCTGCAGTGCTGGCCTCCCATATGAGTGCTGGTTCAAGTCCTGGCTGTTCCACTTCTGATCCAGCTCTCTACTATTGCCCGTGAAAGCAGTAGAAGATGGCAGCACAGAAGGTTAAGCCGCAGCCTGCAACACCAGCATCCCCTCTGGGTACTGGTTCGAGTCCTGGCTACTCCACTTCTAATGCAGCCCCCTGATAAAGCACCTGGAAAAGCAGTAGAAGATGTCCCAAGTACTTGGTCCCTGTTGCCCACATGGGGAGACCTGGATGAAGCCCTTGGCTCCTGGCCATTGCAGTTATTTGGAGAGTGAACCAGTAGATAGATCTTTCTTTCTTTGTCTCTCCTTCTCTCTTTTTGTAAGTCTTCCTTTTAAATAAATGTTTATAATAAGAAAGGAAGAATTTTAATGGGGGCCAGGCATTTGGCCTAGTACTTAAGATGTCTGCATCCCAAATCAGAGTACCTGGATTCAATGCTGGGCTCCACAAGTGGTTGGGTTCTTGCCACCATGTGGGAGACCTGGATTGAGTTCTAGCTCCCAGCTCCCAGCTCCCAGCTGTATTGTGAGTGTGGAGTAGAACATGAATGGGAACTCTATATCTCTCTCTAAAAAAAGAAAAAAAAAAAAAACTTTAGTGATTTCATCCCCCATTCTTCTTCCTGTTTTACAGCTAAGAAGATTGAGCCCTAATGAGTGAGAGGCTTTGAGAAGAAAGCAGAATGAGGGCACTGGCCCTGAGAAGGGGGAGCGGAAAACAGATTCCAGAAGGTAGAAAAGAATCCCCAAAAACTGAATAGGGAGACTATCAGACAAAATGACTTCCTCGTTTTCCCCAGGACGGATCCTTCCCTAATCAGAAGTCATCACCTCAAGAGTACATTGTGGGGGCCGGGGCTGTGGCACAGCCGGCATCTCATATGGGTGCCAGTTCAAGTCCCAGCTGCTCCACTTCCAATCCAGCTCTCTGCTATGGCCTGGGAAAGTAGTAGAAGGTGGCCCAAGTCCTTGAGTCCCTGCACACATGTGGACCCGGAAGAAGTTCCTGGCTCCTGGCTTCAGATCAGCTCAGCTCAGCTCTAGCCGTTGTGGTCACCAGCAGATGGAAGACCTCTCTCTCTCTCTCTCTCTGGCTCTACCTCTCTGTAACTCTCTGTCTTTCAAATAAATAAAAATAAATCTGAGAGAGAGAGAAAGAGGGAGAGAGAGAGAGAGAGAGAGAACATTGTGAACCTGTCCTCAGGTTGCCACATCACCAGGGGGATGACTGACTGTTCAAGAAGTCAGGTCTTTGGACTCACTCTGCAAACTGTAAAATGAAGTTGTAAATGTCGTTAATATTTCCCTCTGTTCCTCAGAAAAATATAAAAATCCAAGTGGAGGGACAAGACCTAGCCACAAGCAAAGACCAGGATATGAACAGGCTGAAGCACAGTGACTGGCTGGGGACTATGCTTTCTATTTAAGGTACACAGCTTATCTGAAAGAAAACAAAAAGAGGGGCTGGCTGGGACCTGTGACGAGGGGTGGTGTCTTGTTGAAGGGAAATAATCCACCGAGCCTCTGTGACCTTTGTCATTTTTTCCCTCCACATATTCATGTATGACAATGACTCAGCTCTACCACCGGTGGCTTATTTTTAGGAAGGGTAACCGAGCCAGTTGAAAACCTAAGCATAGTAACCATTGCCAATCAGCAGCCTCCCAGATCCAAAGTAGGAAAGAAATACTCATTTCTTTATTTCAGCATAATCTGTGTGACTCAAGGTGGGTACCAGAGAGCTATCTCTTTCAAGATAATTTGCTCTTCCTTCTCCCACAGAGCTGGAAACTCCCAGGGGAGAGTGACTCCCAAAACATGAAAGTTCCCCTTAGTCAGTGCTGAGTGGAACCCAGTTTCTTCATTTTCCAAATATGGAATCACCCCAGCCATGTGTAAGCTCACGGCTGTGCTGGAACTAGTATCCTGGGCCACTCAGCTCTGTGCCCCATTCCACTTCCCGTTTCAGATTCCTTAGGCAAAAGCCAAATAATGTAAGTTTTTCATGAGATCATCAGTCTAGAAGAAGAGGGCATTTCCTGGGCTGATTTCCTATTCTAATGCAGTGTAAATGCTGCATCTAAGGGAAAAACATTATACTGTTTATTATCATATTAGCAGAAATCAAGACCCAGAGGGTTATGCACTCTACTGCTTTGTAAAACTGTTAAAATTCAAAACCTTAGCCAAACATGAAGCAATGAACAAGAATGACTGAGAAGGTACAAGTTGTCTGAGATTTGCTGCTGGGGTCTGAACTGTGCTCCTACCACTTTGCTGTGAAGGCCTGGGCAAGGTATTCTCTGTACTGAACTTTCCTTATCTGTAAAATGTGGCTGACAATAAGAGAACTTATAGGGCTGTTGTGAAGGTTAAATGAGATAATGCACATAAAGCATACAGAATAGTGCCTAGTACACAATTGCTCAATAAATGTAAACTAAGACTATCAGTTAGTTTTAGGGTTAGGTGCTTGGAACAATGGTTAAGGTGCCGCCTCTGACACCTGCAACCCATATCAGAGTCTCTGGGTTTGAGTCCTGGCACTGTTTTCAATTCCAGCTTCCTGCTAATGCACACCCTGAGAGGCAGCAGTGATGATTCTCATAGTTGAGTCCCTGCTAAACTTAGGCGAGACCTAGATTAAGCTCCCAGCTCCTTGCTTTGGCCTGGCCCAGCCACAATTGTTGCAAGCATTTAGGGAGCGAACAAGCAGATGTGAGATTTCTTTTTGCCTTTCAAAATCAATCAATCAATCAATCAATCATTCTTTTTTTAAAAGATTTATTTATTTATTTGATATGTATTTGAAAGTCAGAGTTACACAGAGAGAGGAGAGGGAGAGAGACAGAGAGAGAGAGGTCCTCCATCTGATGGTTCACTTCCCAACTGGCTGCAACGGCCGGAGCTGCGCCGATCAGAAGCCAGGAGCCAGGAGCTTCTTCTGGGTCTCCCATGTTGGTACAGGAGCCCAAACACTTGGGCCATCTTCTACTGCTTTCCCAGGCCATAGCAGAGAGCTGGATCGGAAGTGGAGCAGCCAGGTCTTGAACCGGCACCCATATGGGATGCCGGCGCTTCAGGCCAGGGTGTTAACCCGCTGCACCACAGCGCCAGCCCCAATCAATTAACTTTGAAAAGACTTAGTTTAGAATTATCACCAAGGAGCCAGGCTCAGCTCTCCTTCCCATAGGCATTTCTTTTTACTGCATGTCACTGTTTCAAAAATCATACCCAGCATATTTGTAGTATGGTCTCCAGTTTCTTGGACAGATACCAAATTTTTTTTTTCTTAAGGCTTATGCAGGATGATTTTGTCCCTTGAAAACTACTGAGATCAGTTCATTCTGAGTAAAGTGGCCCAGTTAGAGAAGCGACTTGAAGACTTGACCTGAGGAGTTTGAAGTAACTGGACATGATCACCCTGTTGAGAAAACCCTCGAATATTAGTATATTAGTGAGCGGACTTCAAATACCCACCATGTTGAAGGAGGACTAGCAGGCAGATCATTACCAACCTAGGAAGAGGGCATTTTTTCTCAATATAACTTTTTTTCCAGTCAGTTGGTGCTGTCCAAAAATGGTAAGGTTAAGTCAAGCCAGTGCCGTGGCTCACTTGGCTAATCCTCCGCCTGTGGTGCTGGCACCCCGGGTTCTAGTCCTGGTTGGGGTGCCGAGTACTAGTCCCAGTTGCTCCTCTTCCAGTCCAGCTCTCTGCTGTGGCCCGGGAGGGCAGTGGAGGATGGCCCAAGTGCTTGGGTTCCTGCACCCGCATGGGAGACCAGGAAGAAACGCCTGGTTCCTGGCTTCGGATTGGCGCAGCGCTGGCCGTGGCAGCCATTAGGGGAGTGAACCCACAGAAGGAAGACCTTTCTCTCTGTCTTCTCTCTCTCTCACTGTCTAACTCTGCCTGTCAAAAAAATAAAGTAAAAAAAAAAAGGTTAAGTCAATATTTGGGATGCTCACATCTCTAATAAAACTGTTGAAATTGAATTCCAACTCCACTTCCATACAGCTTTTTGCTAATGTGCCTGGGAGGCAGCAGATGATGAGCCATGTATTTGGGTTCCTGTCACCAACATGGGAGACCTGGGTGGAGTTCTAGGTTCCTGGCTTTGGCTTCATTCAGCCCCAACTGTTTGCAGGCATTTGGGCCATGAACCAACAGGTGGAAGATCTCTCTCCCTCCATGCCTTTCAAATAAACAAAAATGAATAAGCTTCCTGCGATTGTGCCTGGGAAAGCAGCAGAGAATGGCCCAAGTACTTGAGCCCCTGCCACTCATATAGAAGACCTGGAAGGAGATTGAAAGGCAGAGTGAGAGAGAGAGAGGAAGAGACGGAAGGGGAGAGATGCTGGTACACTCCCCAAATGACCATAATGACCTGGCCACAATGACCAGGGGTAGGCCAGGCTAAAGCCAGGAGCAGGAACTCTATCTGGGTCTCTCACATGGGTGGCAGCGGCCCAGGTATTTGGGCCATCTTCCGCTGCTTTCTCAGGTGCATCAGCAGGGAGCTGGATTGGAAGTGCAACAGTGGGGATTCAAACATGTGCTCATATGGGATCCTGGTGGCACGGGCAGTTGCTCAACCAGTAGAGCCACAATGCCAGCCCCAAATAAACAAATCTTAACAACAACAACAACATAACACAAACACTCATCTGGAACAAGACACGTGAAAATTTTGGAAGAGGAAGAACTATTTCTACCAGAGACTGTCCTAGGGAGATAGTGGCCCAGGAGTTGCCTCTGGACCTGGCTTCCAGAGCAAAGGTTCAATTTGCTTTTATCCCCTGAGTGTTGCCCATGTCTCCCTTTCTTCTTTGCACTCCAGAGAAAGAGTGTTTCTTGCTCTTAGTAATTCCAACTACTGAATGTTTGTGAGGAGGGGTTCTTTCCAGACCACTCTCAGCAAGGTATATCTTAGAAAATAACCAGATATAAAACTAGACACGGAGAAGAGAAGGAAAACATTCCAACTGTGAAGCATGCAAGTGAAAGAGCAGAGCCAGGGTCATCTGTCAGGGTCAAGACAGTGCCAGAGCAGGAATTAGATTAAGCCATAATTAGTGGGTTTAGCAGGAAAAGGTTAAAATCCAAAGTACAAGTGGATAGGCTGCCACTAGTCTGCAAAAGGAAGACAAGATTGCAGTGTGTGCAATACCGTACTGAGAAAAAGGCAAAGCGAGTTCTGCCTCCCAGAATGCCACCGCTTCCCCATATTAACTCCTTTCCAGTTAGGTGGGGCTAACTCATCTGACTAGTTTTGGTCAATGGGCTGGAAAAAGAATCATAGGTGTCATGCCCAGGCCAAAGGAGCCACTGAAGAGCTTCTGTGTGGCCCTGTAGGTCTCTCTGCTCTGGTGTGGCGTACTAGGATGGCAGAGCCACCTGTTGGGAACAGCGAAGCTCACAGATTCACTGCAATGGGCAGCTCACTGGAAAGGTGCCAGTCCTGCAGCAGACTGGGGAAGTAAGAAAGTTGTTTTTTTAAAGATTTATTTATTATTTATTTGAAAGGCAAGTTACAGACAGGCAGAGGCAGAGAGAGAGAGAGAGGTCTTCCATCCGCTGGTTTATTCCCCAAATGGCTGCAACGGCTGGAGCTGGGTTGATCCAAAGCCAGGAGCCAGGAGCTTTTCTGGGTCTCCCATGTGGATGCAGGGGCCCAATGATTTGGGCCACCTTCTACTGCTTCCCCAGGCCATAGCAGAGAGCTGGATCGGAAGTGGAGCAGCCAGGACTTGGACCGATGCCCACATGGGATTCCGGCGCTACAAGCCAGGGGTTTAAACCACTATGCCACAGCACTCATCCCCAAGAAAGTTTGGTTTTCTTTTAAGCTACTGAGATTTGGGGTTTCTTTTCCCCTGCAGGATAATCTAGCCTATGTACATTAACATCAAAGGCATTCCAACAGCGTTCTAGAAGTTAGGGGTTACATGACATTCAACTTCAAACTTCAAAAGAAGTTGAAGGGAGAAGTGCTGAACCAGTCTAGAATCATGGTTGGTAGACACAAAAGATACAAGGCCCATCCAGAGACTTGCAGTGGGGGTCCTGGAGAGTCAAACTGCATGAAAGCGGGAAGACTGATGCTAAGTCACTTTTCTGAATTGGGAGCCTCTTCATCCACATAATCCTGTCCCCCAGAGGTTTGCCCTGAAAGACTACACCAGGATCAAGGCAAGTGTATAAACTGTAACAGGCAAGGAGCCCATGGTTTTGCTAAAGGCTTATTGTGTCTACGCTTTGAAAGTAGAAACAAGAAGAAGGTTGTAAGGGAATGGAAAGACAGGGAGAAGAACAGCACAAATAGAACCCTTTCAAGAGAACGGGACTCTGGAAACTAAATCTAGGAGAGCTTGCGGCAGAGCTGCTCCCCTTCCTCTTCCCTGTCCTGACTTCAGGATATGCAGCTCCTCAGCAGGTTTTTTTGCTGCTTGTTCTATTATTACTATTACTATTACTATTACTATTACTATTACTATTACTATTACTATTACTATTATGTTTGTTTGATAGGCAGAGAGAGAGAGAGAGAGAGAGAGAGAGAGAGAGAGTGTCTTTCATCCACTAGTTCACTCCCCATTGTCTGCAACAGCAAGGGCTGGAGCAGGCTGAAGCCAGGAGCTGGGAACTCAATGCATTTTGCTTTATGGGTGGCAGAGAACCAAGTATTTGGGCCATCATCTGCTGCCCCCTAGGATGTGCATTAGCAGGAAGCTGGAGGACAGAGCTGGGACTTGAACCCAGATACTCTGGTGTGGGATGTAGGTGTCCTAAGCGCTGATTTGACAACTGCATCAAAGCCACCCCCTCCACCGCAGCTCAATCTTTTGTTTCAAATCTGCAAAGGCAACTCCCTTGGATCACCAGTAAACCTGTAATGTGGTTTCCTTACAGAACTGTCACATTCCTGAAGTAGTCTCTCAATCCAACCGTGGTGAACATTCCAGCAAAGTTAACTCCTAGGATAATTTAGAAGTAATGTTAAGTATAGAAGAATTTAGTAACTATAACCTAAGCTTTTTGCAATTCCTATCCCTTACTCAGAATGTCAAGAAATGTTAACTTTGATATCAAAATAAATAAATAAATGGGAAAATGGTCACGGAGCTTGAGGAGAAAAGAGCAGTGGTATTAGTATCATTGTTCATAGGCAAATGTAGAAGATGTAGGGGTGCCAAAGGCATGGAACACAGTTGAATAGAAAGAAGATGATTGATGTAATTTGGGTTTGATTGAGATCTTTTTAAAAAGACTTATTTATTTATTTGAAAGGAAGAGTTACACAGACAGAGGGAGAGAGATCTTGCATCTGCTGGTTCAATCCCCAAATGGCTACAATGGCAGGGTTGGCCCAGGCTGAAGCCAGGAGCCTGGAACTCTGTTTGGATCTCCCATGTAGATGGAAGGGATCCAAGCATTTAGGTAATCCTCTGCTGCTTTCCCAAGTGCATTAGCAGGGAGCCAGATTGGCAGTAGAGCAGCTGGGACGCTATGGGATGCCAGTATCATAGGCAGCTGCTTAAGCCGCTACACTACAATGCCAGTCCCTAGATTGTGATCATTAAGGTCTCATCCTGCCAGGAAAGTCTGTGATTTCTGAGGCCATCATCGCCAACGGTACACAGTGTGGTAGTTCACAGCCATGATACACAGTGTGGTAGTTCACAAAGGTACACAGTGCAGTAGTTCACAGCCAACAGTACACAGTGTGGTAGTTCACAGCCAATAGTACACAGTGCGGTAGTTCACAGCCAAAGGTATACAGTGTGGTACGGTAGTTCACAGCCAACAGTACACAGTGTGGTAGTTCATAGCCAAAGGTATACAGTGTGGTACGGTAATTCACAGCCACTGGTACACAGTGTGGCAGTTCACAGCCAATGGTACACAGTGCGGTAGTTCACAGTATGAGCTCTGGAGCAAGACTAAGATGGGTTCACAGCCACACTTTTTCATTTACTAGTTTTGTGGCATTGGCAAGTTATTTAACTTTCCTGTGCCTAGTTTTTCCACCTGTAAAATAGGATTAAGAGTAATGCCCACCTCACAGGGTGGTTGTATCATACAGTGATGAGATGTCCCTCATAACTTCCTTCCTCTGTCAGCCAATAATGCAAGTTTCCCAAAGAAGTCCCACTTCCCCCTCTCAGGAATCAGAGCCTCAGATGCAGACAGATGAGCTGTGAGTGGGATTTATGCAGCACAGGCAGTTGCCTTCACCAAATGATCCCGCTGTTTGATTTGTAGTTTGAGTCTGAGTCAAAGGTGGGAGGGTTCATACTTCATTCTTGATTGTGGGCACTGAAGATCCCCCAGAGGCTCATTCTCAATTAGTGTTATGAATGCTCTCTCTTTGCCCTGCATCCCAAGGTGCCTTTCGGTTTCTCACACACAGGCATAATGCATTAGTTGCTCCAAGTACTTAAATCATTAATAACAGGATGGTCATGTCCTAAATCAATTCCACCCTTTGCTCAATATTAGAGCTAGCTGTCTTGTCAGTCTCAAATTACATTCAAAAACAATTATATCATTTCCTTGTCATCCTGCTGTGATCTCCTTACACCATGGTGTGATCTTCCCAGAGAAATGAGTCTCAGCAATAAACCTTGGAGGAAGCAACACACACCCAGTTAAGAGTGCTACATTCCCCAGCCTTAAATCTTGGTTCTAGCTCTTTTGGTTGTCAGAAATCAAGTCACATCCCATGAGTTTAGGCTTCCTCAACTAAAAAATGAGGATAATAGTATTTATCTCATGAAGGAGTTATGAAATTAAACTCGTAAATATAAATAAAGTATTTTGTGCCCAGCACACAGCAACTCAAATATTGGCGACTATATTTTTTTGGTGAAAGGAATGAATGGAGGGGCTGGCATTGTGGTATAGTGGGTAAAGCCACCACCTGCAGTGCCAGCATCCCATACGGGCTCCAGCTGAAGTCCCACCTGCTCCACTTCCAATCCAGCTCTCTGATAATGTGCCTGGGAAAGCAGTAGAAGATGGCCCAAGTGTTTGGGCCCCAGCACACATATGGGAGGCCTGGAAGAAGCTCCTGGTCCTGGCCCAGAGAGCCGTTGCAGCCATTTGGGTAGCAAACTAGTAGATGGAAGAGTTTGTCTTTCTCTCTCTCTCTCCCCTTGTATCTCTCTTCTTCTCCTTCTCTCTCTGTAACTCTGCCTTTCAAATAAAATAAATCAATCCTTAAACATAGAAATGAATGGTTATTATCACTCTTTCATTACACTTTTTAGATATACAGCTCATATTTATCCAGACAATTCCATCTCTCCCTCTTCAGACCTAGCATCTTTTCTGAACCCCAACTGATGACTGAATACTTTCACTCAGAATCATTGTCCATCGTTAACACCACACCAAGCTCAAGGGCCTCTAGTGGCTGCTGTCAGGCTTCCCTATTTTTGTCAATATTAATATCACAGTTTCTTAGGTGTGAAATTTTGTCACCCAAAGTTAGAAAAAACAGACAAGCAGCTGACATTTATTTACTATGTGCCAGACAGTGTGTTAAAATTTTATTGGATTACTTTCTATAACCCTCACAAGAATCTTTTTTTCTTTTTTTTACAGGCAGAGTGGACAGTGAGAGAGAGAGACAGATAGAAAGGTCTTCCTTTGCCGTTGGTTCACCCTCCAATGGCCGCCGCAGCCGGCGTGCTGCGGCCGGCGCATCGCGCTTGTCGCTCCCCCTCTTCGTGGAGGAACGACACAGGACCCTGCGCTGTTCTTTCGTCTGCTCGGCCCTCCCCGGGTTTGCTGCTGGTTCTTCCCGGGTTGGCTACTATCCCTTCCACCTCCGTGGAAGGGCAGTTCCCCCTGGCCGCATTCCCCACTTCCGCAGGGGAGCGGCACACCGCCGGCCGGTTCTCTGGGGGCTGCACGGGTTCCCTTAGATGTTCCCCATAGATGTTCCTGGTGCATGCCGTCTCTCTCCTCCTTTATAGTCCTCCTCCGCCAATCCCAACTCGGCTGAGTACGCTGCTCTCCAATCAGGAGCAAGTCCTACAGTTAATTGGTTGAACTGGAGGCAGCTGTGCGGAAGCTGTTTACTTCTCTCCCAGCGCCATATTGTGGGAGAGCAGATGCATAGAATAAGTCTTAATTCGAGTAACTTAGTCTAGTCAGGATTGCTCCCCACAGATCCCCCTATCTTTTTATTTTTTGGCGTTGATACGCGCCTGTCTTCGGTGTCCCGCAGCACACACTCTGCTGTACTTGCTAGAGTTGCCACAGGCTCTACAAGTCCTATCAATCAGGAAAACCGAATCAGGCAGACCGAATCCAAGCTTAATATTGTTGTATTGTGGGGAAGCCTTACTGATGTTAATTCGTGCCTGTCTTCGGTGACCTGCGGCTAGCCGCCCAGGTGCTCATCGCCTCACTAATCGGGCAGACCGAATCCAAGCCTTCTAATTGGCATGTTGAGGGGAGGCCTTATTTTTCTCTATTTCTCTATCTCCGGGCATTCCTACCTCTCCCATTTCACTTCTATCTTCCAGCATTCCCATTTCTCTTTTACTTCACTTCCAAACTTCTGTTTCTCTTATCCCCGCAGCTTCCCGGCACCTCGCCCCGCCGGCGGGTTCCCGGCTCTGCGCCGCTTCAGCCCGCGCGCCTCTCTCATCTGCGCAGCTTCCCGGCTTTGCGCGGCTCGGCTTTGCGCGCTCCGCGGTCTCCACGCTTAACCCTTTCGCGTCTGAACCACGGCCTACGCCAGCGTTCCCTATCTATTCACGCCCCGTGCTCTCTCTGCACGCGGCGGCTTCCGCGAGTAACACAGCGTAGCTTGCGTCTCCGCCACTAGGATTCAATCTAAGTTCCCCGGGCTAGCCTGGCGAATTCAACCCAGCGTACGTCTCCGCCCCACGATTTGGCTTCCCGTCCTTTGCTCCCCGGGCTAATCAGACGGATCCCAATCTGGCTTACGTCTCAGCTTCTGGTTTCAACTTTTCGCCCCCTATTCCCGGGCTAACTTGAGAACCCCAAAGTGGCTTTCGTCTCCGCCTTGGCCTGCCCCCCGCGGCTTCAATTTCCCTAACATTTTTCTCTACCCGGTATGTTTCCCCAAGCTTTCCTCCAACGATATTCCTCCCTCATTTCTCCTGGCCTCTCCCCACAGTCCGCGTCCGAGTCTGTTTGTTCTAGCTTTCACTTTCGCTTTCGACCTTAGAGATTTCTCCCAGCTTCCCCCCGTAGTCCGTATCTGAGTCTATGCCTAGGCTTTCAATAGCTTCTTCCGGCACCCTTTTTCGTCCGGCTTTTCCCTAGGCTGTTTGCTAGTCTGTCTCTCCGGTAATTTCCCACTTCTTCCCGTTTCTTCCCTCTTAAGTTTGCTATCCGTCCTAGGTTTCCTATCCGAGCTAGGTTTCCTAATCCGAGTCAGGTTTCCTATCCGAGTCACGGCACCATTATGTCGCTCCCCCTCTTCGTGGAGGAACGACACAGGACCCTGCGCTGTTCTTTCGTCTGCTCGGCCCTCCCCGGGTTTGCTGCTGGTTCTTCCCGGGTTGGCTACTATCCCTTCCACCTCCGTGGAAGGGCAGTTCCCCCTGGCCGCATTCCCCACTTCCGCAGGGGAGCGGCACACCGCCGGCCGGTTCTCTGGGGGCTGCACGGGTTCCCTTAGATGTTCCCCATAGATGTTCCTGGTGCATGCCGTCTCTCTCCTCCTTTATAGTCCTCCTCCGCCAATCCCAACTCGGCTGAGTACGCTGCTCTCCAATCAGGAGCAAGTCCTACAGTTAATTGGTTGAACTGGAGGCAGCTGTGCGGAAGCTGTTTACTTCTCTCCCAGCGCCATATTGTGGGAGAGCAGATGCATAGAATAAATCTTAATTCCAGTAACAGTATAGTCCGAATTGCTCCCCACAGCGCTGATCCGATGGCAGGAGCCAGGTGCTTCTGCTGGTCTCCTATGGGGTGCAGGGCCCAAGCACTTGGGCCATCCTCCATTGCACTCCCTGGCCACAGCAGAGAGCTGGCCTGGAAGAGGGGCAACCAGAACAGAATCCAGCGCCCTGACTAGAACCCGGTGTGCCAGCGCCGCAGGTGGAGATTAGCCACGGCGCTGGCCCCACAAGAATCTTATAATGTAGAGGCTCTTTTTTTTTTTTTTTTTTGACAGGCAGAGTATACAGTGAGAGAGACAGAGAGAAAGGTCTTCCTTTTCCGTTGGTTTACCCCGCAAGGGCCACTGTGGCTAGCGCACCGCGCTGATCGAAGCCAGGATCCAGGTGCTTCTCCTGGTCTCCCATGGGGTGCAGGGTCCAAGGACTTGGGCCATCTTCCACTGCCTTCCCAGGCCACGGCAGAGAGCTGGCCTGCAAGAGGAGCAAACGGGACAGAATCTGGCATCCCGACTGGGACTAGAACCCCAGGGTGCCAGCGCCGCAGGCGGAGGATTAGCCTAGTGAGCCGCAGCGCCAGCCTGTAGAGGCTCTTTACTACCCCCATTCAGCAACTACAGAAACTGATGCTTAGAGATACTGAATAACTTGTTCAAGGTCACATAATCCCCAAGTGTCTGAGCCAAGACTGATACCCACATGTTTTGAAGACAGATCCCTGCTCTTGGGCTCTATTATGGCTATGATGCATTGCCTCCCTGGCCCTTGTTATGAATCTGTAATCAATTCCCAAATCTTGTCATTCATCCCAGGAATTCTGTCATAATTACATTTGGTATTATACTTTAAAACATGTTAGCATTCTTTGGCAGGCATTTGGCCTAGCCGTTGAGCTGCCACTTAGCATACACACATGCAACATTAGAGTGCCTGGGTTCAATTCCAGGCTATGGAGTCCAGCTTCCTGCTAATGTAGACCCTGGAAGGCAGCAGGTGGTTCCTGCCACCCATATAGGAGATCTGGTTTGAGTTCTTAGCTCCTGGGTTTCCACATCTCTCCATCACAGGGCAATTGTGGGCATTTAGGGGAATAAGCAAGTGAATGGTAGATATTTCTCTTTCTCTCCCCGCCCCCTTATAAGCAAATAATTTAAAATTTAGCATTCTGGGGTAGGTTTTGTGGCACTGTTGATTAAGCCACTGCTTGGGACACCTGTATCCAATATTATCGTGGTTCTAGTCATGGCTGCTACACTTCTGACCCAGCTTCCTGCTAATGCACCTGGAAGGCAGATGATGGCTCAAGTACTTATGCCTCTACCACCCACATGGGAGACCTGGATGGAGTTCCTGCTTCCTGGCTTTGGCTTGGCCTGGCCCTGGCTATTGCAGGCATTTGGTTCAGCAGATGGAAAGTCTCTTTCTGTCTCTCTCTTTCTGCCTTTCAAATAAATAAATAACAGTTAAAAATGAATAAAAGCACTCTAATAATTGTGTGGTCATGTCATTGTGGTCTTAATTTGCTGTTTCCCTAATGGCTAATGATATTGTATATCTTTTCATGTGCTTTTTTGCCAACTGTATATCCTCTTCAGTGTAATGTCTAATCTTGTCCATTTTTTTTTTTTTTTTTTTGACAGGCAGAGTGGATAGCGAGAGAGAGAGACAGAGAGAAAGGTCTTCCTTTGCCGTTGGTTCACCCTCCAATGGCCGCCGCGGCCAGTGCACTGCGACTGGCGCACCACGCTGATCCGATGGCAGGAGCCAGGAGCCAGGTGCTTTTCCTGGTCTCCCATGGGGTGCAGGGCCCAAGCACCTGGGCCATCCTCCACTGCACTCCCTGGCCACAGCAGAGGGCTGGCCTGGAAGAGGGGCAACCGGGACAGAATCCGGCGCCCCGACCGGGACTAGAACCCGGTGTGCCGGCGCCGCTAGGCGGAGGATTAGCCTAGTGAGCCGCGGCGCCGGCCTAATCTTGTCCTTTTAAAAATGTTTATTTACTCATTTTCATCTACTTGAAAGGCAGAGCAACAGAGAAACAATGAGAGACCAAGACATACACACGCGCGCACACACACACACACACACACACTTAGGGAGAGAGAGAGAGAACCTAACTACTGGTTCACTCCCCCCATGTCTACAACACCTACAGCTGGAAGCTCAATCTGGGTCTCCCACATGAGTGGCCAGGACCTAACTGCTTGAGTTATCGCTTGCTCCCTCCCAGGAGCCAAAAGTTGCAATTAGCAGTAGAGAGGGACAGGAACCTAGGCATTCCAATATGGCAAGTGAGGGTCTTTTTTTTTAAGATTTATTTATTTATTTGAAAGGTAGAGATACAGAAATAGAAGGGGGGGGAGAGGGAGAGGGAGAGGGAGAGGGAGAGAGAGAGAGGGAGGGAGAGAGAGAGAGAGAGAGAGAGAGAGAAACTATCTTCCATCCACTGGTTCACTTCCCAAATGGCTGCAACAGCCGGGGCTGGGAGCCAGGAGTTTCTTCTGGGTCTCCCACGTGGGTGCTTTCCCAGATACTTTAGCAGGGAGCTGGACTGCCAAGTGGGGCAGCCGGGACTTGCACCGTTCCCATATGGGATGCAGGCACTGCAGACAGAGGGTTAACCTTCTATGCTACAGTACCATCTGATGTGGGAGTCTTAACTGCTATGCCAACAATTGGCTCCAGGATTTAAAATAATATTTATATATAATATATAATATTATATAATGCATATATGTTTTTCAGTTTTACATTTAAATCTATGATCTATTTTGACTGAAAACAATTTTTAAGATTATTTAATTTCTTTGAGAGACAGAGTTTTACTGAGAAAAAGCAGAGGAGACAGAATCTTTCATCTGCTGGTTCACTCTCCAACTGGCCTCAATGACTGGAGCTAGGCAGGTCTCAAGCCAGGAGCCAGGAGCCAGGAGCTTCTTCTGGTCTCCCACAATAGGTGGCAGGGGCCCAAGCACTTGGGCCATCTTCTACTACTTTCCTAGGCACATTAGCAGGGAGCTGTATCATAAGTGGAGCAGCTGGGACTCAAACTGGCGCCCACATGAGATGCTGGCGTGGCTTTACCTGCTGTGTCACAATCAGGCCCCTTGGGTGAATTTTTTATAAGGTGCAAGGTTTAGGCTGAGGTTCACTTTTTTTTTATTTATTTTTTTATTTATTTATTTTTGCTATCTAAGCCTGCAATTGCTCCAGCATTGTTTGTTGAGAAGACTCCTGATATCTGTCCCTAATTCATACTCCATACAGCAGTTAAGAATAATTTTCAAAACATGTACCTTCAGAGGCCAGCACTGTGGCTCAGCAGGTTAAGCCTCTGCCTGTGACTTCCGCATCCCATACGGGCGCTGATTGTCCTGTCTTGGCTGCTCTGCTTCCGATCCAGCTCCCTGCTAATGCGCCTGGGAGAGCAGAAGATGGTCCAAGTTAGTGGGCTCCTGCACCCACGTGGGGGACATGGATGGAATTCCAAGCTCCTGGCTTGCGGCCATTTGGGGAGTGAACCAGCGCATGGAAGATCTCTCTCTCTGTAACTTTGCCTTTCAAATCAATCAATCTTGAAAAAAAAAAAAAAATGTGGCCGGCTCTGCGGCTCACTAGGCTAATCCTCCGCCTTGCGGTGCCAACACAGGGTTCTAGTCCCGGTCGGGAAGCCAGATTCTGTCCCGGTTGCCCCTCTTCCAGGCCAGCTCTCTGCTGTGGCCAGGGAGTGCAGTGGAGGATGGCCCAAGTCCTTGGACCCTGCACCCCATGGGAGACCAGGAAAAGCAACTGGCTCCTGCCATCAGATCAGCGCAGTGCGCTGGCCGCAGCACACCGGCTGCGGCGGCCATTGGAGGGTGAACCAAAGGCAAAGGAAGACCTTTCTCTCTCTGTCTCTCTCTCACTGTCCACTCTGCCTGTCAAAAAAATAAAATTAAAAAAAAAATGTACCTCAGATGCTATCCTGTCCAGTTCCTTCCCACATTAGTGGGACCCTTGCCAACCGCACTGTCTACCACACGGTGCCCACCACTGCGCCTGCTCTGATACCCACGGCCTTGCTCCGTCCCTTCACCTGGGTGCATGGCATTATCCCCTCCTCAGAGCCATTTCTCCTCCAACCTTACTGTCCCCTGCTTCTGCACAGCACTGCGTGATGTGAACTTCCAGGTCTCAATATGCTTGTTTACCGTTTGCCCCTCCTCCGCACCCCAGCGCCACAAGCTCCAAGACTGCATGGTTTATCCCCAGGGCCCAGGTTAGCGCCTGGCACACAGCAGGTACTCAGCAAATGGCTCACTGCTTGACAGGCCGCGAGCCAGGAAAATCACCACGCAGGAGCGCCGCCTCGGCTTCTAGGTCAGGCGCTCCAGTGGACTTCACGTAAAGTGCGAGCGCCACCTCTCGGGAAGTCAGCTTGTTCTCGAAGGACGGAAGTGAGTCACAGAGGCTGGCAGGGAAAACACACAAGGAGGCGGGCAGCCGGAAGGGCCCGAAGACACCAGCACCGGAAATTAGCCGTCGGAAGATTGCCCCCCAGAAAGACGCCCTACTCACCGGAGGAAGCGTGGGCGAGCGGTGTCCCCCCAAAATGGGTTCCTCCGCGGCAGCCTTGCGAAGAAACGTTCCGCGCGTGTGGGTGCTGGGAGCCGCGTGGGGTCGGGACGTGTTTCCGGTGCCGGCGACAGCAGCCGGAGCTGAAGCCCAAGCAGCTGCAGGGGTGAGGACGTTTGAAGTCCCCAGGGGGAAAGGACGAGGACTGGGGTCGGGGGAGGGGAGAGGAGAAGAGGTTTGGCGACGAGGTGGCTTCCGCTCTGAGGGGTGGCGAGGGGGATGGGCTGGAAGGAGGGGCGGGAGCGGGTGTGCAGGTGCAGCCCTGTCAGCGCAGGTCCCGCGCCGCATGGACTCGCCTTTGTCCGTGGCCTCCCCTCCCCTCACGCCGCAGCGACAGGGGCCTGTGGTCTCTGTCGGGGACCGCGCGACACTCAGCACGTGCTTGCCGAATGAATGAATGAATGACAGGGTGTGTGTGAGAGACCGGCCTGGAGCGCATTTACAGCGGAGAGGCTGTTTCTGATCTTAAAGTTAGCTCCGTTTTCTCCTGGAGAACCTGCCCCGCGCGCCGCCTGCGGTTCTCCAGCCGGTCCTTGGGCCTTTTTTTCTAGAAAGGACGGGGTGGTTATCATTGAGGGCATTTCCTTTGCGCTTGATGGCTGGTAGGCCCTGCCAAGTACGGCAGACAGACAGGAACCAGCCAGCCCCATAGGAAGGTCGCACGCCGGGGTCGGGGAGAGGGAAACACTGGATTTGGAGCACAGTTGTTAAGGTGCTGTCCTAAGAGGCTAACTAAACAGGACGGTAGAGCCGGGAGGTGAGTGTCTCACCTTAGTGTTTGTCGAGGCGGCCGCCGCCTCCCTTTCTCGCCCTGTGAAGCCTGACGCTCCACTGGCCTTCTCCCACTATGGGGTCCAGTCTCCGTAGTGTGTGTAGCTTCCTCACCTTTTACGGCGGAGCATACATTGCTCAGGGTTGGGAAACCACCTGGGCCCTGCTGCGGGGACCTGTTTCTGCATTTGTGGACTGAAGGGGACGGTAGTGACAGATCTCCTGCAGCCACGGCCGCGGCGGTTGGGCACACTGTTTTCTGCTGCCTTGGACCAGGTGTCACCCCTGTTCTCGCCAGCGTGGCTTCTTGAGGAAGTGGTGCTTTGTTTCCACATCCGCTGCCTGCGGCCCAGCACCGTGTTGGGTAGGGACTGGATACGGGCAGGTGAAGTCGCAGCCCCTGCTCTTGCACTGGTCCTGACTTTGGGGTTTTTAGCTCTTGGATGAGGGGGCTGGGGGGAACTGGTTTTTTGTTTTTTGTTTTTTTTTTTTCCAGAGAGAGACCTGGGTTGGCATGACAGATTGAAGCCAGCTTTCTGCGGTAATCCGCTTGAGAGGGATAATGATGAACACAGAGAGTTCAGTGCTGTCTCACTCCCCCACCCGCTCTCCCCAGGACCATGGCCAACACCGAGCGCACCTTCATTGCCATCAAGCCCGACGGGGTTCAGCGGGGGCTTGTGGGAGAGATCATCAAACGTTTTGAGCAGAAGGGCTTCCGCCTCGTTAGTCTGAAATTAATGCAGGTGAGTGGACTGCCTTCCTCTTATTTTGAGCCCTTTGTAGTGTAGGGGAAGATGGTACATGCAGCCGCCTCTCTCCCTTCCTCTCTGTTTCACAATCCCTGTGGTAGAGTGAACACAGACTCCTCAGTGGCCTAGCATCTTGGCTGACCCTTGGAACAAACTGAGATTCTTGGGACTTTTGAAGATGGTCTGTGTTGCCTTGGCAGTGCCGGACCCCACCTATTACTGTGAGTTCTGACTCAGAGCTCCGAGCACTTTTGAGCTCTGCTCTTGAACCTCATGAGCAGATAATTTAGAACTTCCCCCTCTTTTTTTTTTTTTTTTTAAGATTTATTTATTTATTTGAAGGTCAGAATTACAGAGAGGGGAGGCAGAGGCAGAGAGAGTGAGTGAGTGAAAGAGAGAGAGAGAGAGAGAGAATGAATCTTCCATCCACTGCTTCACTGCCCAAATGGCTGCAACAGCTGAGGCTGAGCTTCTTCGGGGTCTCCTACATGGGTGCGTGGGAGACCAAGGACTTGGGTCATTCTCTGCTGCTGTCCCAGGTACATTAGCAGGCAGCTGGATGGGCAGCAGAGCAGCTGGGACTTGAGCCAGTGCCGTATAGGATGCCAGCACTGCAGGCGGCAGCTTTACTGCTGTGCCACAGCGCCAGCCCTGCAGGTTGCTATCCAGGAAGAAAATCTTGTTATCAGTGACCACCCATGTAGTATCTAGCATGTATTAGGCCCCACAGGGCCATGTGGAGGAAGACTATGCTTTTGCCTTTGGGGAGGCCCTCCTAAAACAGCAGAGAGCAGGGACACCTGCTAGACACCTGCAAAGCAGTGCTTCAATGAGTGACCAATCTTGATTGACCCCTTGCAGATCCAAGAGATGAAAATTCAAATTCCGCAGTAGATTAGGAAACACATGGTTTTCCACTCAAGGAATCAGCTTTGGAGCCTCCAAGCACATTTTACTTATTTGAAAACATTTTTTAAAGTTTTTGGTTGTGTTTATTTGAAAGGCAAAGTGACAGAGAGGGAGAGAGAGAGAGACAGAGACACCTTTCAGATGAGATTGGGCACATTCAGGATATGGCCATGGACAACAGAAATATCTTTCATGTGCTGCTTCACTCCCCAAATACCTACAACCCTGCAACAAAGAGGCTGGGTCAGGCTGAAGCCAGGAACTCAATCCAAGTTTCCCACATGGGTGGCAGGGACCCAAGTACTTGAGCCAGCATCTGCATCATCATCAACTCCCAGGTGCGTGTGAGCAGGACGCTGAGATCAGAAGCTCAGGTGGTCGGGGCCGGTGCTGTGGTGGAACTGGTAAAGCTGCTGCCTGCAGTGCTGGCATCCCATGGGGGCGCTGGTTCGCGACCTGGCTGTTCCACTGCCAATCCAGCTCTCTGCTATGGCCTGGGAAAGCAGTAGAAGGTGGCCCACGTCCTTGGGCCCCTGTACCCGTGTGGGAGACCTGGAAGAAGCTCCTGGGGCTCCTGGCTTCGGATTGGCCCAGCTCTAGCTGTTGCTTCCATTTGGGAAGTGAACCAGTAGATGGAAGACGCCCCCCCTCACCCTGCCTCTGCCTCAGCCTCTCTGTAACTGTGCCTTCCAAATAAATAAATAAATCCTAAAAAAAAAAACAAACCAAACCAAACCAAAACAAAAAACCAAGCAGCAGCAGCTGAGGTAGGACTCAGTCACAGGCACTCTGATGTGGGGTGGGCATGCTAAATGGCAGCTTAACCTGCTGCATCACAAAACCCACCCCGCGAGAGTCCTTTTTTTTTTTTTTTAAAGGATTTCTTTCTTTATTTGAAAGGCAGAGTGACAGGGAGAGAGTAAAAGAGAGAGGGAGAGAGAGGTCTTCCATCTGCTAGTTAACTCCCCAGATGGCTGCAACAATCAGGACTGGGTCAGACTAAAACCAAGAATCTGGAACTCCATCCTGATTTCCCGTGTGGGTGGCAGGAACCCATGTTCTCGGGCTGTCTTCTGCCGCCTTTTCAGGTGCATTAACAAGAAACTGGATCCAAAGTAGAGTAGCTGGGACTTGAACCAGCAGTCCAGCGTGGAATTTGAGTGTCCCAAGTGGCAGCTTAACCTACTACACCACAATACCTACCCTTTCTAGTACTTTTTTTTTTTTTTTTTTGACAGGCAGAGTGAGTTAGAGAGAGAGAGACAGAGAGAAAGGTCTTCCTTTTCCATTGGTTCACCCCTCCAAATGGCTGCCACGGCTGACGCGCAGCGCCGATCCGAAGCCAGGAGCCAGGTGCCTCCTCCTGGTCTCCCATGCGGGTGCAGGGCCCAAGCACTTAGACCATCCTCCACTGCCTTTCCAGGGTACAGCAGAGAGCTGGACTGGAAGAGGAGCAACCAGGACAGAATCCGGCTCCCCAACTGGGACTAGAACCTGGGGTGCCGGCGCCACAGGCGGAGGATTAGCCTAGTGAGCCGTGGCGCCGGCCTTTCTCTTTAATTTCTATTAAATTTAGTTTGATTTGTATATGTGATATTTCGGAAAAACTGCTGTAATGTAAGAGGGGAGCGCACAGTGTGATGGTGGGAGCCAGGTATGCAGGACAAGCAGTGGTCTCCAGAGCGTTCAACCAGGTTTTGAAGGTGAAGTGAAATGAACATGTTGTTCTTTGGGGATTCAGTGCGTGCTGGGTACATGTTGTTTTTCCTAGCCCTCATGACAACCCTGAGGGGCACTTGCTTCTGTTCTCATAGTTGTTAGTGGTGATCCCGAGGCCGGGAGAGGGTAAGCAGTGTGCCTACAGCACAGCACAGCAGTGATGCAGCTGGCATTTTAGCGTGGGCCTCTCGCATCCCTACATGCTTCTGTCTCCTTTACACGGGATTTCCTATCAGGGATACAGGTTGGTGAGAACGGAAGGCGGGAGAGCTGCTGCGACTCTGAAGGGTTGCTGACGTCTGGCGCGGGGTGGGATCAGGGCAGCTCTTGAGGTCATCTCCTTACTCAAAGCCTGTGATCTGTTCCCCAGGCTAAACATAGTCAGAACCGATGGGTGGACTGAAAAGAAAGGTCAGGTCAGTGGGTTGTGGGAGACTTCTACAAAAAATCGTCCATTTGGATAGGAAGGGACAGGGTGAGGGGTGGCTCCTGCCAAGGACTGCTTGCATGGCCAGACAATCCTGCTTTGGCAAGTAACGGTCAACCACGGCCGAGTGGTAGGATGGTCTGGGTGTGCCTTTCAGCACTGACCCGCTCAGTTGTGTCACGCAAGTGTGCAGTCTGATTCCTGCACTGCCGTGCTGAGCCCCTCGCCAGTGTACCTGCAGTGGCAGAGAGAGAACACAGCCACGCTGGGCTGCTTAGCAGATGGCTGTGCTCTGGCTGCCTCGATCTGTTCACACAGACCAGCCTTGCAGTATGGGAGATTCTGGTTTCTTCTTCAGCAAAATTATTTGTCGCTAGATATGATGAACTTCTGGGTGGTTTACAAATAAACGGGAGTCACTTGGTTCTCACACTGGGCCTTTATCCTCTGAATGAGTCTGCAGGATCCTGGGGAAGTGGTCTTGTTCATTTGCTGTTCACTGAATGCTGGGATTACCTCCCTCACTTCCCTCTAATGCTTTAGTTTGGGTTCACTCTGGAAAATGAGATGACTGGGGGCCGGCACTGTGGCTTATACGGCCGCTGCCTGCAGTGCCAGCATCGCATGGGGCACTGATTCGAGTCCCGGCTGCTCCACTTCTGATCCAGCTCTCTGCTGTGGTCTGGGAAAGCAGTAGAAGATGGCCCAAGTCCTTGGGCCCCTGCACCTATGGGAGACTCAGAGGAAGCTCCTGGCTCCTGGCTTCGTATCGGCCTAGCTCCTGGCGTTGCAGCCGTCTCTCTCTCTCTCTCCCTCTGCCTCTCAGTAACTCTGCCTTTCAAATAAATAAAATAAATCTTTAAAAAAAAAGAAAGAAAGAAAATGAGATGACTGGATTGAGTCCTAGTGTTCTGTGGTTTTATTGTGATCCATCAAGGCCAACAGGGGGAAGACTGGTTCAGAGCTGTGGCATCACCACTAGTTCTCGTCACTGCTCTCTCTGGCAGTGTGGAGAATGAATTAAGTTACTACAGAATCAGCGAGCTGAGAGCTCCCTTTTTTAAAAAAAAATATAGATTTATGCATTTATTTGAAAGGCGGAATTAGAGAGAGAGAAAGAAATCTTCTATCTACTACTTCTGTCTACTACTTCACTCCCTAAATGGCCGAAGCCGGGAGCCTAGAACTCCCATCTGGGTCTGTCGTGTGGGTGCAGGGGCCCAAGTAGTTGGGTCACCTGTGCTTTCCTAGGCACATTAGCAGGATTGGAAGCTGAGCCTCCGGGACAGGAACTGATGCCCAGATGGGATGTCGGGGTTGATGGCGACGGCTTAACCTGCTATACCATAACACCAGCCCCTGAGAGCTCACGTTTACAAAATTTTTAAAAAGATGTATTAATTTATTTGAAAGGCAGAGTTACAGAGAGGCAGAGGCAGAGAGAGAGAGAGAGGTCTTCCATCTGCTGATTCACTCCCCAGATGGCTACAATGCCTGGAGCTGCGCTGATCCGAAACCAGGAACCAGGAACAACTTCTGGGTTTCCCACACAAATGCAGGGGCCCAAGAACTTGGGTCATCTTCCACTGCCTTCCCAGGCCATAGCAGAGAACTGGATCGGAAGTGGAGCAGCTGGCACACGAACTGGCACCCATATGGGATGCCAGTGCTGCAGGCAGTTACTTTATCTGCTACACCACAGTGCCGGCTCCTCACATTTTAAATTTTTTCAAAAATTAATTTCTTTTTTAAATTTGAGAGACAGAGAGAGCGAAAGAGAAAGCATGTTGCCATCTGCTGATTCATTTCCCATCTGCCTGCAATGGCTGGGGCAGGGCTGGGGCCAGAGCTGGGTGCCAGGTGTGCACTCAGGCTCTCCCACATGGTGGCAGGAACCGAGATACTTGAGCGGCCACCTGCCGTATCCTGGAGTCTGCATTATCAGGAAGCTGGAGTCGGGAGCTGGAGCTGGGCGTTGATCCTGGTTACTTCAGTGTGGTGTGCAAGCGTCTTAGCTAGTGTCTTCACCACTCGGCTAAACATCCAGTGATTTGAGTGAAATCGATTGCTGGTTCTGCCAGTAGTCTTGGGGGCCAGTTTTCATTCTGTGTCCTGTGGAACAGGCGTCTGAAGACCTCCTCAGGGAACACTACATCGACCTGAAGGACCGTCCGTTCTTTCCCGGCCTGGTGAAATACATGCACTCGGGGCCCGTGGTCGCCATGGTGAGTGTGCCCGTGTGGGAGTGAGAGCGAGTGCTGTGATTCCTGCCTCTGATGCCAGGTCTCCACGGCTGCAGACGGGACTGGGGCTGGCAGGATGGCTCGCCAGGGCCTGATTCAGCTGGAGAGCTGGCAGACTCTGAACACCCGGGGAGAGGGATCGGAGGAGACGGCTGACTGTAAGCTGCCGGAGGACAGGGAGATTGTCTTGTTTATGCTGGTACCACTTCTCCAAGTACACACGGCTTGTCATTTCGCGGCCAGGCCGTCTTCTAGCCACTGGGGATGTGGCCATGAATGAGACAAAGACGATGCCTGTTTCCAAGCCTTCTTTGCCTAGACTTCTTGAAGGGGGTGGGGCTGGGCAGACAAGAAAGAAACTCATGCGCAGTCACACAGTGGCACTGCATGCACAGATATAAGATGGGATGATGTGACAGCAAGTGGCCACTTTAGATTGGATGGGAAGGAATGTGATTTTCAGGCTGAGATAGGAATGACAGGAAGGAGCCAGCCATGCATAAAATCACAGTAAAGACCGTCCCCAAACAAGCAAATAACACGTGCCAAGGACTCAGAGTAGGGAGAAGCAAGGCTTTATGGAGAAAGTTGGGCTGGCACAAGCCTGGTGAGGGAGAGAGAAGTTGGGGTAGATGAGATGAGAGACAGGGAGGAGGGTCTGCATCATACAAGCTGTGTCAGACTGTATACTCCACGAGTGCTGCGAAGCTATGGGGTGTTTTATACAAGGCACTTTATTTACTTATCTTTAATTTATTGGAAAGACAGAGAGAGAGAGATTTGCTGATTTGTTCCCAAATGCCCACAATGGCTGGGAATGGGCCAGACCCAGGCCAGGAGCTGGAAACTCAATCTGTGTGTTCCATGTGGGTGGCAGGGGCCTAGGTACTCAGCCTCACTTGCTGTTCCCCAGAGTGTGAATTAGCAGGAAGCTAAAATTGGAGCAGGGCCGGGACTCTGATATGGGATGTGGGTGTGCCCAGTGCCGGGTTAACTGCTGTGCCAAGTGCCCGCCGCGTGCTTGGCGTTTTGAGAAGGCCACTCTGCCTGCCAGGTTGAGCATGGATTGTAAGGAGGCAAGAGTGAGGCCAGACAGACAGGATCCCCAGTGCTGGAAGAGGTAGGTGCTCTGTGGATATTCGTTCAAGGAGTCGGTGTCATTCAATGGGGCCTTGTTCTTTTCCTTATTTATTTCTTCTTTTGTAAAAAACAGCAGTTGCCAGATTTTCTGCTGAGATGGGTTTCCGTCTTGATGGTGTCTTCTTTTGTCCTTGGAGGTCTGGGAGGGGCTGAACGTGGTGAAGACAGGCCGAGTGATGCTCGGGGAGACTAACCCTGCGGACTCCAAGCCGGGCACCATCCGCGGGGACTTGTGCATCCAGGTTGGCAGGTGAGTCCCGGGGCACCATCCGCGGGGACTTGTGCGTCCAGGTTGGCGGGTGAGTCCCAGGACACCATCCATGGGGACTTGTGCATCCAGGTTGGCAGGTGAGTCCTGGGGCACCATCCGCGGGGACTTATGCATCCAGGTTGGTGGGTGGGCTTTGTCATCTTTACTACTTTCTAGAGTCTGACTTGGTTGCTAGAGGATTTTGGTTCCTGGGGCTGGAGGCAGACATGAAGCCGTAGGTGGGGTGATTTTATCCGAGTTGATTGTTCTCCATTTGATATTTGGCGTCAAGGGCTGTCTGCCTTTGGTTGTCAGCATCATAGTGGTTGTGCCTCTGTCGAGAGCATAGCACCTGCAAAGTCTTCCCTGGAGGCCCGCACCCCTAGCATCCTTGGTGGCAGCAGGGGAGGGGTGGGGAGGGCATGCATGCTCTTGATGGCGGCTGTGTTGACGTGGTCTGATGGACCTGGAGCCAGTGGGAATGCAGTGGGCTTCTGGGCGGTTTGATTCTGTTGTTCTTGGTCATGTGGCTCTCTCTCTCCCACCCAGGAACATCATTCATGGCAGCGATTCCGTGGAGAGTGCAGAGAAGGAGATCAGCCTGTGGTTTCAGCCCGAGGAACTAGTGGATTACAAGAGTTGTGCTCAGGACTGGATCTACGAGTGACAGGAGGTGGATGCCTTCCCAGCCACTTCCCTCCTTCCTGTGGAGAGAGGACCAGACTGTAGCAAACCTAGTTATTTCCAGAATTTCCTTATAATCTGGAGGGAAACTCTTGGAGCTGTGAGTGCTCCCTGTACAGTGTTATGTGCTCCCATCAGATTAAAATGTTTCATCCCAATGTAGGATTCCTTGAGTTGGTTACTTAGTATTTCAGTATTGCTTTACATCCCCCCCCATATTTTTTTTTTTTTAAGATTTTATTTATTTGAGAGGTAGAGTTACAGACAGTGAGAGGGAGAGACAGAGAGAAAGGTCTTCCATTCACTAGTTCACTCCCTAAATGGCTGGAGCTGAGCCAATCCGAAGCCAGGAGCCAGGAGCTTCTTCCAGGTCACCCACGCAGGTGCAGGGGCCCAAGCACTTGGGCCATCTTCTGTTTTCCAAGGCCATAGCAGAGAGACGGATTGGAAGAGGAGCAGCCAAGACTAGAACAAGCACCCATATGGGATGCTGGTGCCGCAGGTGGAAGATTAACCTACTTTGCTACAGCGCCAGCTCCCCACTGTTTTTAAATACAACTATTTTAATTAATTAATTAGTTTTTAATTTTATTTGGAAGGCAGAGAGAGAAATCTTCCACCTGCTGGCTCACTCCTCTAAATGCCTGCAACAGCGAGGGTTGGGCCAGGTTGAACCAGGACCCAGGAACTCCATCCAGGAGTTGGGTGTTGGGTTCCCAAGCACTTGAGCCATCATTTCCTGCCTCCCAGGATGCATTAGCAGGATGCTGGATTAGAAGTGGATTGGGGACTTGAATCAGGCACTCTGATATGAGATGCAGGTGTCCGAAACAGCAACTTTAACTGCTGTGCCAAGCATCTGCCCTATTTTTATTTTTCAAAATTTTTAACTTATTTTACTTCATTTATTTGGAAAGCAGACAGATAGATAGAGATGTCCTATCTGCTGGCTCATTCCTCAAATGTCTGCAACAGCTGAAGCCAGAGCCAGGAATTCAATCCCAGACTCCTGTGTGAGTGGCAGGGATCCAATTTGAGCCATTACCTGCTGCCTCCCAAGTTATGCATTAGCGGGAAGCTGGAATTGAGAGTGGACCCCTAGCTCAAGCTCACATCCCATATTGGGGTGCCAGTTTGAGTCCTAGCTACTCTGCTTCCCATTCAGCTTCCTGCTAATGCATAGTTGGACCCCTGCCACCCATTTGGGAGACCAGGATGAAGTCCCTGGCTCCTGGCTTCAGCCTTGTGCAGACTGGCTATTGCAGCCATTTGGGGGAGTGAACCAGAGGATGGAAGATCCATCTGTCTCCTCTTGCTTTGCCTTTCAACTAAATAAGTCTTTTAAAAAAAACAACCAAATGACAAAACCTAGACTGTCTGCTACGGGATGTGAGCATCCCAGATGCTGTCTAAACTCCTATACCAAATTCCCACTCCCTCTTTTTTCATGAATCTTGGATAAACTGAGCAAATAGAAAGCATAAATACTATATATAGTTTTTTATTAAAATTCTTATTTATTAAAGATTTCTTTGAGAGGCAGAGTTACAGTGAGAGGGAGAGACAGAGAGAGGTCTTCCATCTGCTGGTTTACTCCCCAAATGCCCTCAACTGCTGGAGCTGAACAGATCCAGAGCCAGGAGCTTATGCCGGGTCTCCCATGTGGGTGCAGGGCCCAAGCACTGGGGCCATCCTCCACTGCTTTCCTAGGCCATAAGTAGAGAGCTGGATTGGAAGAGGAGCAACTAGGACATGAACCAGCGCTCATATGGTTTGCTGGTGCCACAGGCAGAGGATTAATTTACTAGGCCACAGTGCTGGTCCCTATATAAATTTTTAAAGTATGTATTTGAGAGAGAGAATGAATGAGACAGAGGAAGGGCACTCCTTTTGCTGGTTCACTCCACAGATGTTTGTAATGGTCCCCATCTGGGGCAGGAGCTAGGAGCTGGGCACTCAATCCAGGTCTCCCACATAGATGGCAAGAATCAAACTAGCAGCCAGACTGCTGCCTCCCAGCATTTGCATTAAGAGAAGGCTGAAATCAGGAGCTGGGCATTGAGCCCAGGCAGGCACTCCGGTGTGTAAGTGGCTTAACCGTAAGGCCAGATGCCTTCCTATATAGAAATCATTCCTGTTGGCCTGAGAGAGCTCACATCCACTCAGGCATTCTTTGCCTGCTTCTTTCCTTGTACCCTGCATCCTACTTTTTTTTTTTTTTTTTTAAGATTATTTTATTTGAAAGGCAGAGTTACAGAGAGAAAAGGCAAGACACAGAGATCTTCTATTTGCTGGTTCACTTCCCAAATGGGTGCAATGGCTGGATATGGGCCAGGCTGAAGCCAGAAGCCAGGAAATCCATCCTGTTCTCCCACATGAGTGGCAGAGACCCAAGGACTTAGACCATTATCTGCTGCCTTAGCAGGGAGTGCATTAGCAGGGAGCTGGATCAGAAGTGGAGCACCCTAGACTCCAGTCTTCAACCAGCACTAAGCTATGGGATGCTGCTGTCATAAGCAGTGGCTTAACCCGCTGTACCACAATGCCAGTCCTTTGTAAGTAATTTTGATTTGTTAGGGTAGTGACTTAGAAAAATACACATTGGCCTGGTATCTTTAACAGAGAAGAACTAAAAGTTCACTTCTCTTTCACTTAAGATCCAAGCTGGGGGCCTGTGTTGTGGCTTTGAGGGTTAAGCTGTCAATACTAGCGTCCCATATTGGAGTACCAGTTCAAGTCCCAGCTGCTCTGTTTCCGATCTGTCTTCCTGCTGGTACACCAGGAAGGCAGTGAATGATGGTCCAAGTACTTGGGCCCCCATATCAGGGCAGCACAATGGCATAGGTTAAGCCTCTGCTGTAGTGCCAGCATTCCATATGGGTGTTGGTTCGAGAGCCAGCTGGCTCCATTTCCAATCCAGCTCCCTGTTAATGCGCCTGGGAATGCAGCAGAAGATGGCCCCAGTGCTTGGGCCCCTGTACCCATGTAGGAGACCCAAAGGAGGCTCCTGATTCCTGGCTTTGGCCCAGCCAGCCCTGGCTATTAAAGCCATTTGGGGGGAAAATTTAAAAATTAAAAAAAAAAGCCATTTGGGGAGTGAATCATAAATAATCTATCTACTGGTTAGGATCTCCTGCCCAGGCGGGGGACTTCGGAGCCGTCCGGCCAACTTAATCTGGAAAACACAGAGCGACCCCACGCCTGGAACCTCAATGCCTCTCTTTCTGTCTCTTCCTGTGTTTCTGTTGTTCTGCCTCCAAATAAATAAATACATGCATCTTTAAAGATCATTAAAAAAAAGTTAAAACCCAAGCTGGTTGATGGGGACGTGGTAAGGCTCTGGCCCTTGAGGCTGTCAGGGCTCTGGTTCCTTCTAACCAAGCCCAGTTGGATCCCCTCCCCTAGGTCTGTCTGCCAGCAATTAGGAAGTGAAGCAGAGCCGATCCTTTTCAAGGTAAAATGCTGGATTTGCAGCCTTCACTTCCCCTCCCATCCCTTTGGCCAGAACTTACCTATATGACTGCATCTAGCAGATAGGGAAGCTGGAAAATGTTTGTATTTAGGTTAACATTGTGTCCAGGTAAAACTCCAGAGTTCTAACTGAAAAAAAAAAAAAAGGGAAGGAGAAAGAATGGATTTTTTAAAAAAAGATTTATTTATTTATTTGAAAGAGTTACACAGAAAGGAGACACAGAGAGAGAGAGAGAGAGAGAGAGGCAGAGGCCTCCTCTCTGCTGGTTCACTCCCCAATTGGCCATAATGGCCGGAGCTGCGCTGATCTGAAGCCAGGAGCTTCTGGGTCTCCCACATGGGTGCAGGGGCCCAAGGACTTGGGCCATCTTCTACAGTTCTCCCAGGCCGTAGCAGAGAGCTGGATCAGAAGTGGAGCAGCTGGGTCTTAAACTGGTGCCCATATGGGAAGCTGGCACTGCAGGCAGTGGCTTTACCCACTATGCCTCAGTGCTGGCCACCCCAGAATGGATGTTAAGAAACAGCTATGGGGGCTGGCACTGTGGCATAGCAGGTATAGCCGTCACCTGCAGTGCCAGCATCCCATATGGGCGTCGGTTCGAGTCCTGGCTGCTCCTCTTCCGATCCAGCTTTCTGCCATGGCCTGGGAAAGTAGTAGAAGATGGCCCAAGTCCTTAGGCCTCTGTACCCACGTGGAAGACCTGGAAGAAGCTCCTGGCTCCTGGCTTCTGGCTTCGGATCAGCACAGCTCCAGCCGTTGCGGCCATCTGGGGAGTGAACCAGTGGACGGAAGACCTCTCTCTGCCTCTTCTTCTCTATGTAACTCTTACAGGAGACCAGGAGAAACACCTGGCTCCTGCCATCGGATCAGCGCGGTGCGCCGGCTGCGGCGGCCATTGGAAGGTGAACCAACGGCAAAGGAAGACCTTCCTCTCTGTCTCTCTCACTGTCCACTCTGCCTGTCAAAAAAAAAAAAAATCTTAAAAAAAAAAAAAAAGCTATGATTTCTGCTGCAGACTGTAGCATGTTTTTTCTTGGTCTTTCCCCTGTTCTGGCTTTGGCAGAAGCAGCAGAGAAGAAGGAATCCCTCAAGAGGAGGCCAACAGTTGGGATGGGGCTGCGTTTTTTGGGGGGCAGCTGAGGGCTGGGTGAATTTCTGTTTTACACACAGCTGGCTTGTTTGTTTTGTTTTGGGGGTGAGTTTATGACCAGGACTTTGGGGAATGAGTCAGGAGTGTAAGTTTCCACGTTGAAGGCCAGTCTCTCCAGGATAGAAAGGAGCTGGGATGGCAGTGCGTGGACCCTGTGTGGGTATCAGTGACCTGACCCAGTTGCAAACAGCTGCCCACTGGACAGAACTGTCTAATGAAATTCTCAGACTCTCTGCCACCGCTGGCAAAGAAACCCAAGTAAGCAAGTGCATCCAACTGAGGCCCAAGCAGACACTGTTCCAGAATGAGGGATGCTGAAAATCACTGCCAATGTGTTGTGAATCAGTGTTCTTCAAATAAGCCAGAAAGTGTCACAGACGCCTGTCATCCTTGGCAGGGTCACTAGGATGGTGGCCGCTGGTGGAGGCGTGCGCGGGCACGCGAGCACGCGTGCACACACACACACACAACCGTCCTGGGACAGCAAGCCCTGCCACAGGGGTCAGTAAGGGCTGGGAACCGTGGGAGGTGTGCTTCATCTTGCTAGCCCTTGGCTGGAGTCGCCCCAAAAGCAGCTGCAGAGGAGTCTGCAGTGCCGCACTGTCCTGAGATGGGGCTGGCTGGGATTCTGTGCCCGCGGCCCATTCCAAAGCACGTGTCACATAGGGAAAGGCCACGTTCTCCCCGGGGCGTCTGCAGGCTAAGGAGTTTCTAGGAGGGTTTTAGGAATTCTGGAGCAGTTTTGGTATTTTGGGCAACACCTTCCTCGGTGCCCTGGGACTGACTCTAGCCTGCAAGGAAAGCCTCCAGCAGGCTGGGTCCCAGAGCGGTCCCGGCGCCCTGTGGTTTTTGACAAAGTGCATCAGCGGTTTGCCAGGCAGACAGGAGGTGGAGTCGTCTGCAAGGCACCGACAGGGCCTGGTTTCCACCCTGAGAGAAGCCAGACTTGTCAGGGGTGCCACTCTGCTTGGACTAGACAATCTGACCGCAAGAAAGCTGGATGGGGGCCAGAAAGGGAGGGAGGGAGCCGGGCAGCCAGGCCGCCCGCGAGGGGAAAGCACGGGGCACCTGGCCCAGGGGTTGGAGCGCGGTCCGGCGGGCGGGGGCCGGGCTGGCTGGGTCGAGGCGCTGGGTGGCTGCCGGTTGATCTGGATGAGGAAGGCCGAGGGTTTCTCCAGGGCTCAGAGCAGAGGGTTGGGGGAAGGAAGGCTGGATCTCCGTAGCGGGAAGGGAAGAGTCAGGCTTGGGGCTGCGCGCTAGGGCGCATGGAGAAAGCAGAGGTACCGCTCTGGATAAAGAGCTCTCCAGGCCCGGAGCAGGTGCTCGTGGGCGGGTCCCGGGAAGAACAGTGATGAGGCGTGGGATCCGGGACGTGTGTGATTCCCCCCGCGGGGCGTCCAGGCGCAGAACCAACCATCTCCCGTCTCCGGAACCCGCACCAGCTCCTCCCACGGGGCTCCAGCGTGAGGCCCGTAGGCCGCCGGCGGGGCGCAAGACCGGCGGGCGGGCGGGGCGTCCGGGGTGTGTCCGCCCCGCGCTCCGCCCCACGCCCCTCCTCCGCGGGCGGCTCCCCGGTCTGGTGGTCGCTTCCAGTTTCAGCTTCCGCAGTGCAGCCGCCACCCGGCCCCGCCAGCTTCCCGGTAAGCCTGGAGTGGTTTGGGGGGCGATTTCCCCTGCGACCCTCGGCTCCAACCCTGCTTGCACCGCGTCCGGCGGATCCCGATCTGCCGGCACCCCCTTGCCGGCGCAGGCCAGCGCGCAGGGCCGGGTTGAGGCGGAAGCGCCCGGAAAGCCACGTGTCCCCCAGGCGGAGGGACTGGAGCGTGCCTGGGGCCGCACAGGCTGCGGCCATGGCCAGGCGGGCGCCCACGTGGCCTCCACGGCCGGGACCCAAACCCGGACCCCGAGCCGGACCCGGTGGGAGGGGAGCCGTTTTGGCGCGGGCGCCTGGCCTGACCGCATGTCTCGCCCCGCAGGACCATGGCCCACCTGGAGCGCACCTTCATCGCCATCAAGCCAGACGGCGTGCAGCGCGGCCTGGTGGGAGAAATCATCAAGCGCTTTGAGCAGAAGGGATTCCGCCTGGTGGCCATGAAGTTCCTTCGGGTAACGTGCCCTCGCCCCACGGGAGCCCGGTCGCGGGGGTTTTCTCGTCCCGGGAGCGGTTTATCCGCGTCCCCTTTCCAGCCAGAACCCCCCGTGGCTGACCTAGCCCTTGCGAGACGCCCTTTGGCCCACGCCCCTCCCCAGGGCGGCTGCGCCCCGCCGGCCCTTCCCGGGGCCGGGGAGGACCGACGCCCTTGGGAAGGTTGAGCCGAAGTAACGTGACTCCCTGGCCGGGGCCGGCCTGGCTTCCCGACCGCAGGCCTCTGCCGGTCGCCAGGGGGCAGCCCGGAGCAGCAGGGAGGGAAGCAAGGCCGGGCCGGGCCGGACCTCCTTGTCTGGTCGCGTCGGTCCAGAATGGCGGCCTTGTGGTGCTGGCAAGCGCATTGAGGTTCCAGGCGTGGGGTCGCTGTGTGTTTTCCGGATTAAGTTGGCCGGACGGCTCCGAAGCCCCCGCCTGGGCAGGAGATCCTAACCAGTGGGTGAGGATGCTGCCAGGTGTCCCAGGTTAATAAAGGCCAGAGGCGAGTGATTTGGCCTCTGTCACGTGCAGAGCGGCTGCAGCCAGCACTTCCTAATTAGATCATCAAATCATTATTAAGTCTAAATTGTATGTATCTTTTAAGCATTTATTTGAAAGAGTGATAGAGAAAAAGAGGTCTTCCATCCTCTGGTTCACTCCTCTGATGGCCTCGGCAGTCGGAAGCCAGGAGCTCCATCCGGGTCTCCCATGCGTGGCCCTGGGTGGAGGACCTGGGCCGTCTTCCACTGCCTCCTGAGACGCAGTGGCAGGGAGCTGGGGCAGAAGTAGATGAGCCAGGACTCCATCTGGTATGGGATTCGATGCCCCAATTGTATTTTAAGCACCTTGCCGAATGCCTGCCTGCCACCCACTTCTGAAAGAGGCCAGAGCCGAGGCTCTTGTGATGGTGTGCGGGACCTTTGCCTGCCCGGTCCCATGTCGGGGCTCGGTGGCATCCGTGCGGTCGTTGGTGTTCTCCAGCTTTTCTTGTCTGCGTGGAGGAAACCCCACTTAGTAACCACAGTGCCGCTGCTGGGGCGCCCAGGAAGGGGCTTGGCCTGCTGGTTCCTTTTAAAAAGGAGGAAACAGAAGAGAGTCCAGTCCCCCCTCCAAGATTTATTTTATTTATTTGAAAGGCAAGTTACAGAGGGAGAGACAATCTTTAATCCATTCGTTCTCTCCCCAAATGGCTGCAACAGCTGAGGCTGGGCCACACCAAAGCCAGGAGCCTGGAACCGCATGTGGGTCTCCCATGTGGGTACAGGGGCCCAAGCACTTGGGCCACCCTCTGCTGCTTTCCTAGGTGCATTAGCAGGGAACTGGATTGGAAGTGGAGCAGCAGGACTTAAGCCAGCGCTCTGATCTAAGAAAGTCAAAGTGACGCAGAGAGAGAGAGATCCTTCATTCTCTGGTTCACTTCTCAGTGGCCACAACAGCTAGGGCTAGGCCAGGCCAAAGCCTGGAGCCAGGAGCTTCTTCCAGGTCTCACAAGGACCCAAGCACTTGGGCCATCTTCTGCTGCTTTCCCAGGTACATTAGCAGGGAGTTAAATGGGAAGCGTGGAGTAACTGGGGCTGGAACCAGGTACTCCCATATGAGATGTGCTTGGCTACCTGCTGTGGCACAGCATCATCCCTGCCCCCTCCCAAGAGTATTTTATAATGAAAATTGAGGGAGAAAAAAAATAGATGTTGCTCCTCACACTGACCCACAATGGCTACAGATGAAGAGGGGAGGGAGAGCAAGTTCCATTAAGAGGAGTGCTTGCTGCTTGGCGGCCGGGTAATTCCCGGGCAGAATGCCACATGGCCTTGGTGGCTCCTCTGCAACCTGCAGGACAGGCATGCAGGGCACTTGGTCCTCTTGTTCTTTGATTTAGCCCAAAGCTCTCATCTTCAGCCTTTGGCTTCATTGAGGACAGAATTCTTTTCTTTGTTTTTATTGGGGTGAGGACTCAGGGCTGGAAAGAGTACCTTGGAGGAGCCCCTGGCGGGGAATGAGGACCCAATTCTTATCACCACCTGCTTCACCTCCTTAGGGTTAGAAGATCCCTAATGTCACTGACGTCACGAGGGTGTCTTTGTGGGCAGAATAATCTTTCTGCAAAAGTGGCATGGGTGTCTTGGTTTGGATAGGAGTTTTAAGTCATGCATGCCAGGAGCCCTCTGCGTCCATTTGAGTCATCAGTGCTGCTTCCCAGGGTGCCTAGTGGGAAAGTGGAGTTGGGTGAGGAGTCGGGACACAGGCACTTGGATATGCCTGCAGGTATCGCACCTGGGGTCCTGACCCAGCCCAAATGCCTGCCTCTGAGAGCCTCCCTGTGAGTGGGCTCAGCGGAGGGGATGGCGCCGGCCCTGAGCCTGTTTCCTAACACTGCCTCCTCACTGCAGGCCTCCGAGGAGCACCTGAAGCAGCACTACATCGACCTGAAAGACCGCCCGTTCTTCCCGGGGCTGGTGAAGTACATGAACTCGGGGCCGGTCGTGGCCATGGTGAGCGCTGGGAGGGAGCGTGAGCGAAGCAAGGGGAAGGGCTCACTCCTCAGCAGACCTTTCTCAGCCATCCCCCCAGCTGCTCTTCAGTTCTTTGCACAAATGGAGCCTGCTGGAGGCACCAGGAGCTTGGGAGGAGGGAGGCAAGGGATGCAGAGCTTAGGAAGAAAGGACGCCTTGAGGCAGGTAAACTAAGTCTGTAATCCATGAAGCGAAAGCTCCCTAAAATAGAAATGAAACGCTTGCTTCTGGAAGATGTAGCGCAGCAGAGCCTTCCTACGTGGAGGGGCACCGCCACTGCTGGGGAGGTGGCCTGCTTCCTGTTCCCTGGGGAGGACTGCTTCCGTCTGCTTGCCCCGCAGTGCTGTCCCCTGTCACAGCCATCCTCGCCATCCCTTGCTTCTACAGTTGCCCGGGATGCGCTTTCCACAGATCCCGTTCCAGTCTCATCACTTTGCTCTATCTACCCCTTCTTTAGTGTTCTCAGGGTTGTGTCTGCTTAAAAATTCTTCGGTCTTACCATTTGTCTCAGCTGGACCGGGAAGTCCACACGCTGGATAGACTCTCTCTGTCACCTGGCGATAATGGAATGCTTCTGTAGGCCTTTACTGTCTACTGGGGTGAGCCAGTAATGTCACCGACTGGTCTCCTAGGTGTTTGCTCTTAGGCAGGGGTTAATGGCTGTCCCTGGTGATTCTGGGTGGCAGATCTGATGCCACAGTTCAAGTCCCTTTTCTTTGCTGGCAAGGTCTGGGAGGGGCTGAACGTGGTGAAGACAGGCCGAGTGATGCTCGGCGAGACCAACCCTGCGGACTCCAAGCCGGGCACCATCCGCGGGGACTTCTGCATCCAGGTTGGCAGGTGAGTCCTGGGCGAGTACTGATGACTGTACCACCACCTGGAACCTGAAGCGATCCTTTTGGGCACATCCCAGTTTTCGAAAACCATTAGGTGGTAGTGAACTCTCGGATAAAAGCGTTCATAAATACCCACTTCTGAGTTTCTGAAACTTGAAACAAGGCACTGCTCCAGGGAGCTGGCTGCATGTGGCTCCCGTGTGAGGCAGCAGGAAGCACAACGTTGTAGGGCCTGTTTCCAGCCTTGCCTCTGTCACTGAACCTTTGGGCTCCCTCATCTAGATAAGGTCTGCACAAAAACCTCTGCGTGGTTAGGCTTTGCAAACCCTCGTGAGAACAAACCGCAGCAGCGAGGGCCCTTGATAAGGCCTGCGGCATGGGCAGTTAGGGTTTTGGTCTGCAGTGGCTGTGCCTGTTTCTGTATTTTTTCAGAAATTGACAAGGGGTGTTTGGTGCCCTCGGCCATCTTGACGGGCTGGCGGTGAGCGAAGGGATCCTTGCGCCCAGGCACCTCTGCAGTTCTGTAGCTGCTCTGAGGAGGAGCTCCTTGGGGCAGCTGTGATTGGCGGGCCCGCTGAACAAACCTTGGCACTTTAACCCGCGGTGACCGGCGACTGTTCTCATTTTCAGGAACATCATTCATGGCAGCGACTCAGTGAAAAGTGCGGAAAAGGAAATAAGCCTGTGGTTCCAGCCTGAAGAACTGGTCGACTACAAGTCTTGTGCTCACGACTGGGTCTATGAGTGAGAGGCGGCCAGGCAGCCGGCGGAGCTCCTGACGCAGCCCTGCGTGGCACACTCGGAAGCCTGTTGACCAATAAAGCCTTTGGGAACTGGGCACAGTGTCCGTGCTTATTTCATAGGGAACTGAGTGAAGTGACTTGGTTCCCCGACTCTGGTGCCATTACGTCAGCTAGTCAGCCCTGCTTGCTCTGGGACAGTGGCCTGATTTTTGAAAGAGTTAAAGGAGAGAGGGAGGTCTTCATCTGCTGGGTCATCCCCCCACCCCCAAAGGCTCCAACAGCCAGGGCTGGGCCAGGCCAGAACCAGGAGCTTATTCAGGTCTCCCATGTGGTGGCAGGGGCCAAAGTATTTGGGCCATCTTTTGTTGCTTTTCCCAGGGAGCTGGATCAGAAGTGGAGCAGCCAGGATTCAAAAGTGATGCCTATGGCCGGCGCCGTGGCTCACTAGGCTAATCCTCTGCCTGTGGTGCCGGTACTCAAAGTTCTAGTCCAGGTTGGGGCACCGGATTCCGTTCCGGTTGCTCCTCTTCCAGGCCAGCTCTCTGCTGTGGCCCAGGAAGGCAGTGGAGGATGACCCAAAGTACTTGGGCCCTGTACCAGCATGGGAGACCAAGAGGAAAAGTGATGCCTATGTGGGATGCCAATGTCCTAGACAGTGGCTTTACCCCCACCCCCCACCCCCATGCCACAATGTCACCTCCTTACCCTCCTGCCCCGTTTTACTTTCTTCCCTGGGATATTTAGTCATGCCTGTTTTCTGGGGTAGAAGCAGTGAGTGGTTATGAAAATCATATTCCCTGTATTAGAGGTTAATTTTGCAATAAAGTGAAGCCAGATAAGCACCTGTGGTCCCTAGACAAATCTGTAGCACTGTCATTTGTAGTTTGCTTAAAACACTCAGTGACTGTAAACTGGTGGAAAGCTATACGTCACACATATAGTACACACACACACATATATATATGTATGGCCTAATGTTTTTTGGGCATATAGGTTCATTAAATACAATAACACAATGTAATAAAAAGTAACCAGGGCTATCGCCTGCTGCTTCCCAGGGTGTGCATTAGCAAAAAGCTGCTGCTAGTGGACAGTGATGGCCAGGGAAGAGGGGGGTGGTCCTGGAGAGCTACCTAGTGGGCAGGGGGTGGGTGAGTGTGTGATGTCTGGTTGTCAAGGGAACCAACTTGTGATGAGAGGGTTGGAACTTTGCTCTTGTGGGGGATGGGGCTGAAGGTTGGGCCGATGATTGATGGCTAGTGATGTCATCCATCAGGCCTACGTAATAATGCTACTGGGGAGGTTGTGGGGAGCTTCCCTGCTGCCAGTGTGTCTGGATGGTGGCATTCCTGGAGAAGGCACACATGTCCCCCATGCCTCTCTCTGGTCTGGATCGTGTCCCTTCTTAATAAATGGTAAGAGTTCTGTGGAGCTGCTGTAGCAGATGAATGGCGTCCTGATGGGCGCAGGAGTCAATGTGGAGCTTGTGACCAGCATCTGGTGGGCAGACTACTGGGATGTGATGTGGGACTGATGTGAGCAGAGGACACCTCTCTGGTGTCTGCTGATTTCCCTGGTGGAGGGCAACACTCTCCTATCTGGAGTCAAGTGCTCACATGACTTGGAGTAGAAAGGGTTGCTTTCCACTGGGATGACATAAATTAATAGCTTTGTACAAGAACCATCAGGACGCTAGTTTCAAGTCAACAATTGAGAAATTTAACATTTTCAAAATCCTTTTTCGATTTAGTTCCCATGTTTCTGTCTGCTGTACACTTTGACCACAGTTAAGCAGCAGAGCTGGGTGAAAATGATAGCTTCTGGGAGAGGGCTTGGAGGTCTGCATTTCCCCTGCTGCGTGGTGACGGGTCTGCAAGCTGGGAGAGGTGCTTGGGTTCATGGTAGCAGAAAGCACGCATTTATTCTGCCTTAGGGACGTGGCTGGAATCTCCACGGCTGTTGGGAGGTCACCACTCCTGTCCTTACACCAGAGAAAACTGAGCCAAGTTGCCCATCAAGTGAAGGTCCCAGGCTCCACCTCAGGCAACAGCTTCGAGGTCCATGTTTGTGGCCACTATGCCTCAATGCCCCTGCATAAACTTTTTTTTAAGTGATACCAGAAGTCCTGAGTGGGGAAAGAGTTGAAAGGAAGGTTTTGGATGTTAGGAATGGTGAGGTTGGGGCTGGTATTGTGGCTTAACAGGTAAAGCCACCACTTGTGACACCAGATCCCAAATGGGGGCCAGTTCATGTCCTGGCTGCTCTACTTCCAATCCACCTTCCTGCTAATGTGCCTGGGAAAAGCAGTGGAGGATGGCCCAAGTGTTTGGGCTGCTGCGACCCATGTGGGAGCCCCAGATGAAGGTCCTGGCTTCCACCTGGCCGTTGCAATTACCTGGGGGTGTAAACCAGCAGATGGAAGATTTCTATCACACTTTTAAATATTAAAAAAAAAACTCCAAAAAGGAACGGTGAGGTTGAAAGTACTTCCTCTGGGGGTGCAACTGGATAGGGTAAGCAACTTCTAACATCTTATAGCACACAGGATAACTGGTTGACAAAAAGCAATTGAAAATTCTAGAATATCTTGTTCATGTGTCCCTAAAAAAAAAAATTCTAGAATAGCAGAGGATTTTGATTGTTACCAACACAAGTGTCTATGGTGATACCCCAACTCCACTGGTCTGATCATTTCATACTATACACATGTATTAAAAGGTCACCCTGTATCCCATCCACAGGTAGAAAATAATAAAAGAATAGAAAGCAAATAGTTTTGTTTCTGGAGTAAGGCTGGGCTGAGAACCCTAATTCTGTACCAGCTACGTGTATGAGTAAAAGTAACAACATTCAGAACCTCCCACGTTGTCAGTAAATATATAAAGCACATTATCTGAAGTGCATTTCCTTTACATTGTTTTTGTAGGTAAGCCCTATTTTGATCTGCTTGTGTGGCTTGGAATTCTAACAGGCCAAAATCGGTTGTCCTACCTAGCCTCTAAGACAAAGTTGGGGGAAGCACTTGCTACTCTTCAATTCCGGGCTTACTGCATACCAGGAAAACGTTTCCCAGGAGGCGTGTAATTGTTACAGAAAGTATGAATCAAAGCCCAAGAGATACCGAATAACCAGCCTGGGGATCGCTGCTCCCTGGGGCAACTGCTTAGAACCATTTAAAGGCGAAAGCAGGGCAGAATTTAGTTTTGCTTTACTTGGAATGTTCCATTTTTTTTCTAGAGTGTGAAATTAACTTACTGAAGAAACTCAACTCCACCTCATTACTTTTATAACTTATCCTTTCCCAATTGATAAACTTCTCTACAAACTGCTTTTTCCATTTGCCAGAGCTGATTGTTGGTAAGAGGGCTTCTTGGCTCTCCCTTTTAACAAAAACAGCAAGACAGCTGGGATACCGCACTCAGCTCCCGAGAGCCTGGTCTGCAGCTGGCAGCTCTCCATATCCCAGCCTTCCTTGAGTCAACCAAGTGAGGCTCAAAAGTATTTGGCCAAAAAAAATTCTATCTGACCTGAATGTATACACACTTTGTCATTCCTAAAGAACACAGGACAGCAACTATTTACACAGTATTAGGCCTTATAAGTAGTCCAAAGATGACTTAAAGCATACGAGATGATGTACATGGGTTATATATTAATGGCATTCATGGATTTTGGTATCCAAATGGGGAAAGAGGAGAAGCCTGGATCCAATCCTCTAATATACTGAGAGACAACTGTAGATAATAAAGTCTTCTACGAGAGATGGCAATTCCCCCAAACATGATGTTCTAGCTAAGGTGATTGATTTCCCCATAAATACTCCATATGTATTGTTTTAAATGTATTTATTTATTTGAAAGGCAGAGTCACAGAGAGGCAGAGGCAGAGAGAGATCTTCGAACCACTCCCCAAATGGCTGCAATGGTCAGAGCTGTGCCGATCCGCAGCCAGGAGCCAGGAGCTTCTTCCAGGTCTCCGACGCAATTTCTGGGGCCCAAGTACTGGGGCTATCTTCCAGGCCACAACAGAGAGCAAGACAGGAAGCTAGGACTTGAATTGGTACCCATATGTGATGCTGGCACTGCAGGCGGTGCCTTTATTCACTACGTCACAGCGCTGGCCCCCATATGTACTTCTGCAGTTTTTATCTCTACTCCCCTACTCCCTGCCAAAACACACAGCTCCAATGCAACCTTATCCATCTGTCTACTGATATTCTCTTCCCTTCTCAGCCAGCAGTAAATTCTTCCTCAGCATTAATGTGCTTGCTTCACTCTCTCGGTTTAGGTTATAGGTTCCCCGAAGAAGGAACTGACGGAACGTTCACTGGGGCCTCTGCTTACAGAACTCCAACATTTTGAATACCACCCACTCTCCCACACATATTAAAAAACTGCTCAAATGTCGCTTAACTTTAACATTTTATTTTGTGTAAAAAAGGGCAAATTTAGTGAATTATTTTCATCTTGTACACAAAGTTATAATTTTAATGCTTTTCACATCCATGCTGAAAATTTGCAATTTGGTAAAAATGAAAGAAAACATAAATTTCCCGGAAGGAATTTTTCACGCCATTATATATACATTTCATGAGAAAGTTTCAAACACTCTCTCAATGATCACAAGTTACCAGAAAATAAAAGATTAAATTTATACAGATATTGATCTATATATCAAATACATACAGAAATGATGTAAAAACCTTATGCAGTTTACTTTGACCTCTGTCCTCAAAAGAGTTGCCCAGGGACAGATGCTTTTCTTTTGTATAAATGACTGTGGCTTTATTTAAAATACGAAAATCAAAGGAAGAAACCCAGTTTAATCACAGTATTTTTAAAATCCCTTCCCAATATTAAAGGATCATTACCAAATATATAGCACCATAATACAAATATTGATGGGAGAGGGTATTCACATCACGCAAAATTAATAATAATAAAAACAAACAAACACTGAAAACCCGTGTTAGTATCCGTAGAAGAAGTTGATAACAGCTTTAGCTTTCCTCATACACAGCAAGGAAAAGGTTTAAGGTTTAAACTACCAAGAGTCCCCAAATCATACTAACAGCAAACAGAAACAGAAACAAAAACAAAAAGAAACCCCAGGTCAGCAGTACATTTTGAGCTGTAAGAGAGCGGGGCTGTGAGTTGTACAGCTGGAGTCGTGGCTAAGACAGAATCTCCTCTGTGTGAACTTAGTTTCTGTCCAGTGGCAGCAGGAGTTAAGGGTCTGCACGATGAAGAGGGCTACAGATTGTTTGAGACCATACAAGTCCTTACCAACCTCTAGCTGTTGGTCATGGATCAAGAAAAGAACACTTCATGAATAGGTGGAAAACTTGAACGCTCAAGCAGCCTGGTTTTGCTGCAGAATTGGAAGCTTCTATAACCGGGCTACAAGTGAGCATTTCACAGAATTACTAGGCCTGACTGGCTCCAAATCATAACCCTCCTGGTTCATTCAGTCCCAAAGAGGCCCTAATCCCAAGGTACTGGTAGAGTACACGACCCAACAGGTTTCTTGCACCCGTATCATGGAATCAGAATCCTGGGCTTAATTCACTAAGTCTGAGAGCAAAGACTGCTGTAAGCCACACTCTGGAACTCTTGTAGGCTTTGAGTTTGTGCAAAGATGGAAAGATTGACCAAGTGTGAGCATATCACATTTACAGTAGGTCCCTCTCAGCAATGTTGTTTAAGATAAACATCCAGGAAGTTAACAGCTGAATTCACATATATTTGACACATGAGACTCAACCTGTGCTGATGTGATCTACACTTACGCCCCCCAAAGAGTCAATATTAAGAAATGGTGACATGTGATTCCACACATTCTTACACTATAAAGTAACACATTTTACTTCCAGTAGCTACTACAAAACCTTATGTTATTAACCCCTCTTGCATAGAATGAGGTAAACCTGTGCGTATTACCAATGCTATTATTCCCAAAAGTAGAGCAATATTTTAGAAAATAAATTGCTGGTTTTTAACGTTCTATGCATTTTAAAATTCGAAACAAAAATCTTACCTAAAACGGTCTCCTGGGGCTTTCCATTAACATTGTTTTAAAGCATTCCATAGGCTGAAGGGCTGCAGAGGTTAATCATTTTGATTAATTTCTAACCAGCCCCACCTATATTCCAGAGGAGATGGTCAATACTACTGCTCTGAAGAGGCCAGGCTAAGACCCAGAAGCACTTGTAGAACAGATGCATTAATTCCTGAGAGTTTAGTTTATGAACCTCACTGGTAAACGCTAGAGCTCTCTCATTCAGTCACAACTCGGCAGAAGTTAGAAAACGCAGAGAGCAAACCTTTCACCAATTTACCCTTGTATCCTTTTGTTTAAAGGAAGCCATATGAATTTAAAAATAGGGAATGTTCAAAATGGTCCAAGTAAGTCACTGTTAAAATAAGTTCTGAATACAATTAAAGACAATTCATATTACATCTGGAATTTTATGAAACTTAGATTCTCTTTCAGATTGTTCTCTAACGAATCCAGGATAGTTAACAGTGGAGCTGGAATGATTTTGAAATCTCAACTTATTCTGACTTTGAATTACTTTTACTTTGGTTCTTCTGGTAACACAGAACATCTGTTTCGGGGTGTGGTTATACTAAGTTGTTATCTCACAGATGGAGGGAAATGGCAGAGAACTGAGCAGAATCCCGCTTGTGGGGTATTTTTCAATAAGGAAAATAAAATGAACTTACGACAATATTGCATTTCCCCAACCCCTCAATTTGTAGACTGAGATCCTGTATATCTTGTCAACCATTCCAGTTTAACACTCTAGTGTTAGGATAATTTTAGTTTTTTTTTTTTGTTTTTGTTTTTTTTACATAAAAGAGAACATATAAAAGTATCCAGAGTTCTTCCAGTTTCATTCAGAACTCCAAATAAATTTCACAGAATGAAAAACATTTCTGTACAAACATTTAAAATGGGCTGCAATAAAATGCCAACAAGCAGAATTACCGCTTCCATGATCTATGTGGTGATGAGCCCTCTGTGAAGGGCTCAGTTGCATATTTCTGCAGCAAAGGAAGCTGGAGATGTGACTGGCCTAACTTCTAACATCCCAAAATCTCCCAACAGGTACCAAAAAGGTTCATTTGTAATGACAGTTCATTTGCATTTACAACTATATCCTTCTTAAATCATTTCCTTCAATCCTGCTACCTAAACTTTAATCTTACCAAAAAAGTTAGAATTTCAGTTCTTGTTAACAATGCACATAAATCCAAACTTGGAAAATATTACAAAATTCTTTCAAAAGCTTCAAATACAACACAAAAAGTGTCCATCTTTATAAATTGAAAAATTTCCCTCCCCGACTAAAATAGTTTCCCCACCCACCTGAAAAATCTGGAACTGAAATTTTCTATATTTAGCAAAATGTCCCAGTAGAATAGTCCCGCTGTACAGCTGGATTGATTACAAATCAGTCCTGTGTAAAACTCTTCCCCTCCCACCCTCAGTCTCTGAGCCACGTCATGGCTCTTGTTTGATGTAGAAGTTGGCAGAGCCATTGCTTTCCTGATCAGAGGCTCCTTGAAGGAAATGATAATCTTCTCCATCTAGCAACTCCTCCTTTAGCTGCAATGTAGTCACTGCACCAAAGAGAAGAAAACAGGAGAGGTTAAAGCACTTCTGGGATGTTCAGGCTGCTTTCAATTTTCATGTCCCATCAGCTTTACAGTTAGTAAGACTTCTTCATTTCTGCAGTGACTCTTGAAAATAAATTCCTAGACTATGAGCATTAAATTAATTTTCAAAGTCTATTAGCAATCAAGAAATTCTGAAAACAAGGAACACTGAATTTTGGACACTGTACAATGAAAATCTTCAATGGAATGTGCTCAAGGGAATAATACCCACTAAGTTGACTGCAATAATTTTTCTTTCAAGTATTCGCTTTTATGTCAATGTCTATGCAAACAGTGATGTGTTTCTTGCATGGTTCTGAAACACAGCATTTTTTTTAGAAGACATTTATTTGAGAGGCAGAGTTACAGAGAGGAAGAAATAGGGAAAGATCATCCACCTGCTGGTTCACTCCCCCAAAGTGCTGCAACTGCCACAGCTGAGACAATCTGGAAGCCAGGAGCTTCTTCGGGGACTCCCATGTGGGTGCAGGGGCCCAAGCACTTGGGCCATCTTCTACTGCTTTCCCAGGCACATTAACAGAGAGTTGGATTGTAAGAGGAGCAGCTAGGACATGAACCGGCACCCACATGGGATGCTGGTGCGGTAGGCGGAGGCTTAACCTACTACACTACAGCACCAGCCCCTGAAGTATAGCATTTAATGAATAATACAATAAATGACTCACATTTTAGTTAAAATAAAAATTTATCGATACTAGCAATGTGATGATCACCAATGCAAATCTGCTAACACTGACTGCCTCAGTTCTTACCTATGAGAGAGAGAGAGAGAGAGAGAGAGAGAGAGATAGATAGATAGATTCCATCCGCTGTTGTATTCCCCAATTGGCCACAACAGCAGGAGCTGGGCCAATCCAAAGCCAGAAGCTTCCTCCGGGTCTCCCACATGGGTGCAGGGGCCCAAGGATGTGGGCCATACAGAGAGCTGGATCAGAAGTGGAGCAGCCAGGACTCCAACCAGCACCCATATAGGATGCTGGCACTGCAGGCGGAGACTTTACCCGCTACACTACAGCGCCAGGCCCCTATGAATTTTTAATGAAAATAAACCAACAGTAAAGGCAGTCCTCGATTTATGATAGGTCTCATGTTCTAATAGGTCTCTCACTTTTTTTTAAGAAAAATATTTATTTTGAAAGTCAGAGTTACAGAGCATGAGAGAGAGAGAGAGACCTTCCATCTGCTGGTTCACTCCCCAGATGGCCACGACAGCCAGGGTTTGGCCAGACTGGGGCCAGGAACCAGGAGCTTCATCTGGGTCATCTTCCACTGCTTTTCCCAGGCCGTTAGGAGCTGGATTGGAAGTGGAACAGCCAGGACACAAACTGCATCCATATAGGATGCTGGAATTGCTGGTGACAGCTTTAACTGCTATGCCACAATGTGTCCCCCGAGGGTCTTTGTTTCTATGGGAAATGATTTTTAGTTTTCCTTATTTCCTTTATTTATTTGAAAGGCAGAGTGAGAGAGAGGACTGACAGAGAGAGAGAGTTTGGCCCATCACTTGCTGGTTCACTCTCCAAATGCCCACAATAGTGGTGCTGGACTTGGCAGAAGCCAGGAGCCACGAACTTCATCCAGGTCTGCCATGTGGGTGGCAGGAAGTACTACAGCCATCACCTGCTGCCTCCCAAGAGCATCAGCAGGAAGCTGGGTCAGAAGTGGAGGTGGGACTTGATCCTAGGGACTCCAATATGTAACACGGGCATTCCAAGCGTTGGCTTCCCTGTGCCACAATTCCCACTCTAGTTTCCATTATCTGAAATGGGGTTTACATTTGTGGGTAGCCACTGAGGTCACGCTACTCAGAATTCTAAGTGACAGGAATGCTCTTTCTAATGCATGGGCAAGGACAAACAGAGAATTTCATTTTGTTGGACCCAAAACTATTTGTAGGCAAACATTTTATATCAGATTTAACTCTGAGATTTTTTCTTTTCTTTTTTTTTTTTTTTTTACAGGCAGAGTGGACAGTGAGAGAGACAGGGAGAAAGGTCTTCCTTTTTTCCGTTGGTTCACCCACCAATGGCTGCTGTGGCCGGCGTGCTGCAGCTGGTGGATCACGCTCATCCGAAGCCAGGAACTTCTCCTGGTCTCCCATGCAGGTGTAGGGCCCAAGGACTTGGGCCATCCTCTACTGCACTCCCAGGCCACAGCAGAGAGCTGGACAGGAAGAGGAGCGACCAGGACAGAATCAGGCGCCCCAACTGGGACTAGAACCTGGTGTGTCGGTGCCGCAGGCAGAGAATTAGCCTATTGAGCCGCGGCGCCAGCGGAGCTTTTCTTATCTCCTTGTATAAGCTTTTGTTACTACCCGACACAACATAGTACTATCAGATTTCCCTATCCTTTTTCTGAAGCCTATTCTCCCTTCTTCAGAAATTACTTTCCTATTTTTCTAATGGAAATGATCTCTAGATATTAGAAGTTAGTTTCGGCCGGCGCCGCGGCTCACTAGGCTAATCCTCCGCCTTGCGGCGCCAGCACACGGGGTTCTAGTCCCGGTCAGGGCGCTGGATTCTGTTCCGGTTGCCCCTCTTCCAGGCCAGCTCTCTGCTGTGGCCAGGGAGTGCAGTGGAGGATGGCCCAAGTGCTTGGGCCCTGTACCCGCATGGGAGACCAGGGTAAGTACCTGGCTCCTGACATCGGATCAGCGCGGTGCGCCGGCCACAGCACGCCAGCCGCGGCGGCTATTGGAGGGTGAACCAACGGCAAAGGAAGACCTTTCTCTCTGTTTCTCTCTGTCCACTCTGCCTGTCAAAAAAAAAAAAAAAAAAAAAAAAAAAAAAAAAAAAAAAAGAAGTTGTTTCACTAAATATTGAAATCTTAGGGATGCAGCAGGTTTCTTAAGGAGTTATTGTTTAGGAGCAGGCGCTGTGGCTTAACAGGTTAAACCACCACCTGCAGTGCTGACATCCCATACTGCTGCTGGTTTGAGTCCCAGCTGCTCCACTTCTGATGTAGCTCTGCTAATATGCCTGTGACAACAGCAGATAGTGCAAGTGCTTGGGCCCCTGTATGCTCGTGGGAGATCCAGATGAAGCTCTGGGCCTCTGACTTATGCCTGGCCCAGCCTGGGCCATTGTTGCCAATTTGGGAAGTGAACCAGTAGATGGAAGATCTCTCTCTCTCTCTCTAATTCTGCCTTTAAAGGCAGAGTCATAGAGAGAGAAAAGGTCTTCCATCCGCCGGTTCACGCCCCAGATGGCTGCAATGGCCAGAGCTGTGCCACTCTGAATCTAGGAGCCAGGAGCTGCTGCCCTTTTTTTTTTTTTTTTAAAGATTTATTTTATTTATTTGAAAGATCAGAGAGAGGTAGAGCCAGAGAGAGAGAAAAATCTTCCATCCACTGGTTCACTCCCCAGATGACTACAATAACCAGAGCTGAGCTGAGCTGAGCTGATCTGAAGCCAGGAGCCAGGAGCTTCTTCCCGGTCTCCCACGTGGGTGCAGGGGCCCAAAGCACTTGGGCCATCCTCCACTGCTTTCCCAGGTCATAGCAGAGAGCTGGACTAAAAGTGGAGTAGCCGGGATTCGAACCGGCACCCGTATGGGACGCCAGCGCTGCCGGCTGGGGCTTTAACCCACTGCACCACAGCGCTGGCCCCCCAGGAGCTTCTTCTGGGTCTTCCATGTGGGTGCAGGGAGACCTGGGCCATTTTCCACTGCTTTCCCAGGCCGCAGCAGAGAGCTGGATCAGAAGTGGAGCAGCCGGGAATCGAGCCAGCGCTTACATGGGATGCTGGTGCTGCAGATTGGGGCTTTAACACGCTGTGCCTCAGCACTGGCTCCAATCTTTTTTTTTTTTTTTTTAAAGAGAAGTTTACCCAAAGTTGGTAAACTTTCAAAAACAGGTGAGGTGATCTATTACAATACCAGAACCTAGGTCCTAGGTGAACAATGCTTACCATCCTCCCCAGAGACACATACACAGATTAGCTAAATCAGAGGCCACAGAACACTCTGCCTACCTCTTGCCTTGGTACCATGGTTCTTTTCAAAGTTCACTGAATGAGTTAAGCTGCAACCCACATCTGAGTGTCTGGGCTGTTTCCAATCTAGTTTCCCACTAATGGGCACCCTGGAAAGCAGGGCTTAAGTAGTTGGCAGACCAGACTAGGTTTGTAGCTCCGGTCTTTAGCCTGGCCCAACTCTGGATGTTGTGAGCATTTGGGTAGTGAAACATGGATTAGAGATCTGTCTCTCTGCCTTTCAAATAAATTGTTTTTAAAAAAGGAAAAAGGTTTCACATAAAAATCTGAAAAGCAGGGGCTGGCATTGCAATGCCAGAATCCCATATGAGTGCCAATCCATGACCCTGCTGTTCCTCTTCTGATCCAGTTCTCTGATTGTGGCCTGGGAAAGAAGTGGAAGATGCCCCGAGTGCTTGGGCCCCTGTACCCACATGGGAAGTCTGGATAAAGACTCTGGCTCTTGGCTTCGGACTGGTTCAGCTCCAGCCACCATGGCCATTTGGGGAGTGAACAATGGATAAAGACCTTTCTCTCTGTTTCTACCTCTCTCTGTTTGTAACTCTACCTCTCAAATAAAGAAAATTTTAAAAAACCCAAAAAGTAGATTTGGTAATATTTAGCATCCTTCAAAGGTATGATCAGTGGGATCTGGTAGCTGTCACAGCCTGTACTTGGGCAGCCTGAGATCCCCATCTACCACACAGTTCACCATCTCATGTTCTCCATGTTTTTCACTGAGTTCCTGCTCCTGCAGGCAACTGGTTCTAAAACAGAGGTAAATGTGTTTTGCTTCTACTAGATATCTTTTCCCTAACAAATGGAATGAGTGGTTGTATATACCGTAGTCCTCCCTTATCATCTTTCACTTTCTGCAGTCAGCTGTAGTCTAAAAAGACTACATGGAACATTCCAGAAGTTGATAATTCATAAATTTTACATTGCCTGCCATTCTGAATTGCATAATGAATC